TCCATCAAGCCCTACTAACCACTCTGTGCTGGGTTCCAGTCTGGTCCTGGTGAGGACTCCAACCGGACCTTCCTACAGTCGGACCTCTACATCCATGTCGTCATCTACGACCACAACATCAGGACGGTCTGATCTTCAGAGGCTGCTGCCGACACATTCATACATATGGCACATATTGGAGAGTGCAGGAAGCCTCTAATTTGACCAAGTGGCTGCAGTTGCACCGTCATTTACAAACTGTTGCCCTCATATCATGCATACCATCTGGGTGGAGGTGCTGCAGTGGAAAAATTGGCTTTTAACGTTGGATTCGCAGATGGACAAGTGGATGTACTAGTGTGACAAGTTCACTTGCAAAATTCCTTAAAAATGTCAATTTATACTTCAGATCTTTTCCGCCCATTAAGTTTTATTACAATTGTATTATAGAGTGTTTTGACTTCCTAATTCCCCTAAATGAAGACCCTTAGTTAATTTGGGATTCCCCAGAGGAATGGAATATGCTTGCTCTGGGACCCCGGGCTCGTCCCGTCGTTTAGCCTGGCATGTTTTGGGCTGTTTGTCTAAACAAATTAAAGGCGTAAGAGCTTTGAAAGATGATGGGGGCGGCTTTTTATGTCCTCCCCCAGGCTGCGGTAGCTCCAATTGGACTGGAAGAATGGGTAATGGGCTTAAAGCATTCCGCATGTTCCCAGATGCAAGGCACACTTTTCAGGACATCAAAGTGCCCTATCATTTACATATTAGTCATTCACTGAAGAAGACATTTCTTTAAATAACCCGCGTCAGGAAGTTATTTAGAAACTGTAGGCAACTTTGCTTCCTTTTAATTTCTTGTATGCATTTATTATTGAAACATATGATATAATCTGCCCCCCTACAAGTTTACAAATGACAGGGCCATTATTATGTATTCATAAATGACTATTTAGACGTGTAGTTGAGAGGTAACATTTGTTTCCGTGGTTACAAGGAAACCTGCAAAATGTAGTCCATATACTGTACATATCTTAACTTTAACTCTCCACAATTTCCCCACATTCTTTTAAATGCTCCTAAAAAAACTTAAAATACAGGTAATCCACAAAGTCCAGCATTGATGTACCTTAACAGAAATAAAGGTTCCTTATCATGTTATCTCATTACAAAAAATGCATTTAAAACAAGACAAATACACGTGTTAAGAAAAATTGTTTGACATGGTCTTTTGGAGTTGGATGGGGATAGCCCTTCTTCTGTCTGTGTGGGAAATATGTAACTGCCAGAAGCTTAGTTAGCTTAGTTTAGTTAGCTTAGCTGAATTTAGTTTAGCATAAGCACTGGAAATTTGGGAACAACTAGTCGTTCCAATGGTTTAAAAATCTGCCCACCAGCAAATCTCAAGCTTGATTATATAAAGCGTTATATCTCATTTTTGTTTAATCAATACAAAAACCATAGCTGTGGTTTAACATGGGGGTTGTGACACACTGTTTCATGGACTTCCTGGATTATCTATACATTTCCTGGCATTTCCTGTTTTGTTTACTTTTGGACAGAGCCAGGCTAGCTGCTTGGCCCTGCTTTCCATCTTTCCATTGCACTTATAGTCTCCTGGCTTTAGGTTAATATAACGCATAGACAAGAATCAAACCTTTCCTTTAAACTCAAGCCATATTCAACCTGCCGTGGTACTAATTTGAAGTTACGAGGTTTTAAACAAATGAGTAAATTCTAACAGAAACCTCTAATGTTCCTCAGCAACCCGGTTACCAGAGCAGCTGCATCTGTTTTGACTGAATTGGACCCTGTTGGCCATATGTGTGGTGTGGTGACACATGGATGTGGGTTCTGGTTCCGTAAAAGCAAGGGTTTGGGGAATGGGGGTCTGGGTTTTGGGTTTTCTTCGTCAGTTCATTTTTTTTCTTTTTTTCTTAAAAAGGAGATGTTAAATCTCAGTCTGTTGTGGCATAATGATGAAATAAATGTGAACAAGTCTTCCAGAGTTTTAAATAACAACTACCAATATTGGCGTTGGGCAGTTTCTCATTACACATTGTCCCGAATGTGTTGTTATTGTTATATGTCTTTAAATATAGTGTAACATGAAGTATATAAAATAAAGAAATGTAGCTCTTCATGAAATAATAAAGGCTCTGAAAAACAGGTTATAGTCTCTGCTTTTGTCTCAACAAAACTAACTGGACGAACAAGGATGAGAAGTACATTTACATTTGGCAAAGGATTGCTTTGGGGAATGTCATTTCCTCTTTGACCTCTTTGTCAAAGGCCAGATGATTTAACCTCGGGGCCAGGGCGGTCCACCTGTCACTATCTGCCCTGCTTTGTGTTTTGGTAACAAGAATTCAAACTGGCCGGGTGGCAAATGAACATTTCACCCTCATCTACAGCTGTTTAGCTTTACAGACCACTGCTCCTTCATGTGGCTCGTCGATGGTGATGAAACAGCTCTCCCTCCTTTCAAAGTGGAATCAGTCGCTCAGAACACCGACCAATCAAAACAGCTCGTGACAAATGGGCGCTTTAAAAAGCTGGTGAAATTGCTATTTTTATATGTGCCGTACTTCTGTGCAAGACCTTAAAAACTCAAAAAAACTAGTTGCTGGAACTCAGCCAGACAAATCATGTGTCTCTAAATAGTAATGATTTCACAATAAAATCTAATTGAAATGCTTATATCCCTCTTCATTCATTTTATTGGGCTTTTAAGCAGTTGGGTTTTTACTGAAGCATGGTTTTATTAGTTTGAGGCCTGGACTTGCCCCTAATATACACAACATGAGGTAAAGAGGTGGATTCAAACTCAACTGGGCCTTAGATAGAAACACTGTTCTACCCTCTATACATTTACAATTTTAGTTCCAAATTAATTTCAGGTATCTTCATGAAGTTTGGACTCTTGTTATAAAATGTTTCATCCTTATGTGTTTGACAATTACAATCAGCATTAATTACATATTAACCCATTCACTTCATTTTAGTTTCATGCTATTCTCATTTTCACCATTTTTTGTTTGAACAATTCATTGATTGGTTGTCAACTATTTAATTTACCGCCAAACGGAATGGGAATATACCAATATGTTTATTTGATTGAATGTACATTTTATTCATATTGACATTTTATTTTCACCTGCAGTAAAATAAAAATACAACTAATAAAGAAAACAAAGATGAACTAACCTAAGTATATTCAGAACCATGGGCATTATTATCTATAAATAATAATTGAAACTCACTTCATGTTTTTAATTGTGTTTTTTTAACATGTTCTCCATTCAAAAAGAGTGCACAATAGTTTCCCTGGAGTTTTAAATCCCATAATATCAATTGAAGCTACAAAAATGATTTATTATGTGAATGTTGATAAGCGTTTTTATTCAGTTTCTCCATGATAACACAAAACATCCAGACATACAGTATGCATCTCAAAAGTTTGAAGAGGCCTCCTGTTAAAGTATAGGATCACTTTTAGTTTTAAAGGGGCCATATTGTTCTTTTTGGGGTTGTCTCCTTCCTCTATGTGTTATTTAGGTTTTTGTGCATGTAAATGGTCTGCAAAGGCTACAATCCTAAAGTTCCCTCCAGAGGGAGTTTCTCTCCCACACTATGCCTGAAACGCCTCCATAGTAGTCATTTTTACTTCAGTGACATCACTATGTGTGCTTCTATTGGTTAGCGCTCCAACAAAGTATGTGATATGCTATGGGGCGGGTCATTTCCAACACATCTCTAAAAGGTTGACCAATCACAACAGAGCCGGCCAGCTAACCAATCAGAGCAGACATGGGCTCTGGTTTCAGACAGAGGATGAAAAGAGGTGCTGCAGCAGGCAGTATGAGAAAAATAAAGAGCTTTTTGAGCATCAAAGCATGGAAACATGAGAGGCATAAAACACAAATATGAACCTGAAAATTAGCAGAATAGGGCCTCTTTAAAGCAAAAGTCAGCTGCCCATGCGTACCTAACAGTGGTCTGAGCTAATTCCTCCAGTTCATATATCCAGTTAAGTGATGGGTGAAAAGATGATTTAAAATAACAATATGAGGCTTCAGTGTTCAGAATGTGACAAACCACATCGTCTCCTCAAGTGTCAATGTCTTACTTGTGCACAACATGTGAAAAATATCTGATTTTCAGTCTGATTTTCATTCTGCTGCTGTTCTTGTTTTAACGGATTCTCTCCTGCCATCTCCTGCTAGTTGAAGGGGTTAAACCCCCATATAGAGGACATGGCATGCTAATATTATTGCCATCAGATGTCCAAGGGCGGGGAAATACCCTAATCATTTCCTCCCGAGTGCCCCTGAAAGAGAAGCCCGTGGCGGGGGGTGGAGGGCGGCATGGTGTTTACAGGACGGTGATGGCACAGGATGTGTGTGCTTAACTCCATTGAACTAAACTAAATAGGGGAGAGAGCCTTTAATGCCGACAATAAGCCGCTTCATTCAGCAGCGCGGCCCAGACGCACAGCTCTGCGGAGTAGAAATTACGCACGGAGCGGCTGCTCTGTGGCAGCCGCTCAGATATTCAAATGTGTTCAATACATCGGCGGAATGTCACTACAATATTTTAGAAGATCCGTCTCCAGTCAAAAAACAGCCTCCTTCAGCTCTTGATAACATTAGATATGTCCCCAGGCTGAATGTGCCTAAAACTACCCTGAACAGGAAACTATGTGTGTGTGTGTGTGTGTGTGTGTGTGTGTGTGTGTGTGTGTGTGTGTGTGTGTGTGTGTGTGTGTGTGTGTGTGTGTGTGTGTGTGTGTGTGTGTGTGTGTGTGTGTGTGTGTGTGTGTGTGTGTGTGTGTGCGTGTGTGTAAGTGTGTAAGTGCGTGTGTCAGAGAGAAAGAGAGAGAGAGAGAGAGAGAGAGAGAGAGAGAGAGAGAGAGAGAGAGAGAGAGAGTAGAGAGAGAGATAGATATAGATAGAGAGAGCTAGCTAGAGATCGATCTCTATGAGAGAGAGCGAGAGCGCTATATGAGAGCGAGAGAGGAATACCCAGCTGGTCCCTCAAGTCCTATAATACCAAGCACAACATGCTTTACCTTCAATGAAAGCTGAGACGGGGGGACGGTTGACTGCTGCCCTGAAATCAGTTCATTGCTCGGGTGCAAAACCAAATGCGTCGCTTTTTTAGCAGCCTACTTCTGCCGCATCTGTTGCACCTTCTCCAGCGCTCCAATACTGTTATAATTGACTGACTTTAACAGCCCTGAGAGACAATTTGGATAACGCTCTCATTTTCCCACCTCCCTCTCGCTGTGCCTGGTGTCAAAGGTGATGGTATCATTTTCTAAGTGAGGACTCCTCAGGTGATGGTATGTTTTTCCGGAGGTAGAGACCACATTTGGAAACGTGCTAGACTTTCCACAAATAGTTATTTGTTCTGCTTCTACCTTCACTTTGGCTCGAGCATGGCTCTTTACTCTCGGTTCGTGGTCGTGCTGCTCTACGGATGGAGTTATCTGTGCGTTGGATACTGCGCGATGCTGAAAACAGACAGTTTCCCAGACAAGCGAAAGGTGGATTTTACGCATTCAGAGGATAAAAAGCACCCTGCGAAAGACGACCAGGATCTGCTTTTACAGGATACAATGACGGAACACATGCAGATGCTTTACGCGAAGTACAACCGGGCTGGATTTCCCTTCAAGGACGGCAACACTGTCCGCAGTTTCAAAGCGCAATGGGGTAGGTGCCCAAACTTTTACGCATGTTATCAACACTGCCAGTCTAGAGGAGGCATGTATGCATTGTTGCGTACATGTTGGTTAATATAAACTGGATCTGGTAGCGTATCCTGCATTGCTTAGTTGTAATTATCCGCAAATTACAAGTGCAACGAGGTGTGTGGCCACAAAACGTATTCGCATACCAACAAATGCTTATTGTCCTCATTAAGTTTTTTAATATCCCCAAAACCTGAGCCATTGACGTCCTGGTGTACTGAGCTGAAACCGAGATACACCTGTTGATCCAGTCATGGAAATATGATCAACCTGTTACCCATTCCCTGCGCCAAAAGCAGAGAGATCTCTGTATGCAAAATCCTTTCCCGAAGCATTTTTCTTCTCAGATTTAAGTGTCAGATATTCCAGATAGATTTCTCCGGAGCCAGCATCTGGCAGATGCCCAGCCTGCATGTGTTGCGTTAGAATCTGGGAGATTTCACCGCAGTGAGTCTCTGCATTTAAAGGGATTTTGATAGTTTTTTTTTTTCAGGGAACTTTGATAGTAACTTCAATCTTATAAGCTTTTAATTGCTTTACAGGCTACGGTGTGGAATTATTACTTGGACATGTGCACTATTTTCAGTTTCCACTACCAGTTTCAAAGTGTGTTGGACTGTACTGCCTCCTATGGCTAGCTGTATGTCATGGTTTTAAAAGGGTCAGTTCACCTAAATTACAAATATATATATATGCAGACAGTTTTGGTTTCATTTGCCAAGGTTGTAAAGTATTTTGAGAACTATGCTTCTATCCCACATTAATAGAGATTAATGGAGTTCTCTTTATGTTATAAACAACAAATTAAATAGTTTATTTTTTCATATATAAAGAGGTGTAGGTCAACACCATCCTGTTACTCTGGATGATCTGCACACATAACTGTCAAAGTTGTTTAGTTAAAAAACTAAACTTGAAGAAGGGATAGCTTTTTGAATGTTTTGTAGAGTATTGGGGAGGGAGATAATGAAAACACAGATATTTTATAATGAGCAAATGAAACTTTATCTGTAAAATGTTAGACCATCAAAAAGTGAATTCAAACATATCATTAGTCAAACATTGTAAAAGGGAAAATAGGAAAGTTGGTTAGTTCTGATGTCCTGTACAACTGTGTTGCATTTTGTAATTAAGATTATTCTTTATTTACACAGGTACGATAAACAACAAGCAGCTGCAGATCTTCAACCTCACCGCCCTCACCAAATCGGAAGACGTTTTGTCTGCCACTCTTCATTACTACATCGGAGACCTTCAGAACAGAACCCAAGGCTGCTCCAGGTCCAAAAGCTGTGGTCGCCATGGCCCCCGGAGGCACAACCACATCCACATGGTCATATGGAGCTTTGCCTCGGTGGATAACGAGATAAGGACTCTTGGACACTTCCGGATCAACGTGTCCACCCTCTACAGGGACTTCATATCCTGGCAGTGGAAGGACATAACTCGCGTGGTCAACCAGGCCAAACACCACGACGAGCTGCTCATAGGGATCGATGTGACTTCACAGGGGCCCCAGCAGTGGAAGAAGCTCCTGTCTGACCGCTCGCCCTACATCTTGGTTTACGCCAATGACTCTGCCATTTCAGAACCTGAAAGTGTGGTAGCCACCCTCCAGAGACACCACTCGGTGGGAGGAGAGGGCTCTATTTCCCAATTGGGACTGCGTGAGCGAAACAACACTGAACTAGAACAACCGCAGGCCAGAAACAAGCGCTCAGTGAATGTTCTGCTCCCGTTGCAGAACAATGAACTCCCCGGGCCCGAGTATCCGTACGAGACGACCGGGTGGGACGAGACGAGTCCGTACGAAACTTTTGAAAACAAGCAGGCCCGTCGCCCACGTAAAAAGACACGCAAGAATCAGCGGCACAAGATGCCTCTGCTTCAGTTCGACGAGCAGACGATTAAAAAGGCTCGAAAGAAGCAGTGGAACGAGCCTAGGAACTGTGCTCGGAGATACCTGAAAGTGGACTTTGCTGACATTGGATGGAGTGAATGGATTATATCACCAAAGTCGTTTGATGCCTACTACTGCTCAGGGTCTTGCCAGTTCCCCATGCCAAAGGTGAGACTTATAGTGCACTTCTGCTGTGTTTCAGTAATGGGAAAACACACAAAGCATAAAAGCCACCCAAAATACATTTATTTTTCCAGGCATTATTCATTCTTCTCTTTGAAATGACTGCATTATATTTAATATTGGTCAACAAATACAACAGGTTTACAAGTAAACAATGGTTGCCAAAAGGTTTGGAAATGCAGCACTACTGGTTTTAACTCTCAATACTTCCTCTAACAAGGTTCTGTTCCCTCTCAGCCAATAGAAGTAGTCCATTTTTATTTGTATATCAGATTCATGATCTGTATTGACAGCAAGTAAATGCATATTGAGGCATTTTAGATGCAGTGCAGAAGACTACACGCATCCTTCTGTACTTTACATGTAACTCTTTTTTTTCAGCCAGTATGGCACATTGTTGTAAATGGAGCAGGCTATGTTGAGCTATCAGTACATTTGGCCATTAAGTATACAGCCCCTTTACTGTTGCTGCTTTGTATTATGTGCACTTGGATAACATTCATATCAGATGTCCCTGAAGCCTATCTGTCTTATATTATAGATGATCATGGCAAAGAAACAGAATGCCATCTGCTTTAATCTTCAACTCCCACAATAAATAGTTACAGCTTGTGCTTTTATCTCTAGGAATTAAGGTCATTATGTCTATAAATGTATGCATCAGGGCTACATTTATACCATTGTGATACTAAACTTAAGTCCAGAGCGTACTTAACTTCACTAAACATGCAGTATAAATGGTCGAATTACAGATAATGCAATCTATATGGCTTTGGAACCAAAAGTTGGAAAAACTCAAATAGCTCAAATATCCAACTTCCTAAGAGCAGGTGGCTGACCTCGACATCATAATCATTGAAAGTTTAAAACAATGCTCGAGGAACACAAACAAGATCCTTCTCACAGACTGATGTATTCATTGTTCTTAACAAGAAAAAACAACATATGCATACACATTTAAAGCTCATACAAAGAAGTGACAGATACAAAAAACGAATGTTAAACATCAGCTCCCATCTTAGCTTGTGGCTCCGGTGACAAGATAACATCACAGGTATTTTAAACATGGCCGGAATGCACGAGATCCATCCACTTAATTCATTACCTCGGAGTCTCCGGCCTTTGTAGTCGGATGTAATTAGTCCCAGAAGTAGGGCATTAGGGCCTGAGGCCGGCCCCTCCCTCTCTTGTAGGTTTGCTGTCTGTGATCCTGTGATGTTGTTTTTCTGCTGTCAACCAAAAGCTTTAGAAGCTGCTAAATAGCTACTATTAGAAGGTGAGCTGTCACTTATAGGATCCTGCTAAGACACGAAGCAGCTGATCAGGTGTGTGAACTGCTGGGGGTAGAGCCACACTCAGGGCCTGGGTCTTTGATCTACAGGCGGCTGCTTGTTGGATACTGAACAATATTCAGTTTAGTGTGCGTTATATGATTGATATGCAAACTTGTCAAATTAGCTCTGAATGGTAGTAAACACAAAGACCTCTGTAAGAGATACTGTCCAGGCCTCTTTTTTTATAACTTAGGTCTTATTAGCTCCACCAAGGAGGTTTGTTTTTTTATCAGGGGGATTATTGAAAAACTACTGGCCCGATTTTAAACTTTGTGGAAAAGTGTAGTTGGGCCAAGTAAAAAAACATTATATTTCAGTGGGACCCTGTATCACAGGGCAGATACATGAAGTTTCACCTTTATTAACGTTGGGTTTAATTTGAACCTGTTGTACGAAGGCCCGATCTAGCCATCTTTTAATGGTTATATAACTCTGTTGTCATTAAAGTAATTGCTCAGATATCACAACAACAAAGTCAGGGGAAGCACAAACTGGATCATTGGACTAAACCGTTTGATCAAGATTATCCAAACAAATGTGTTTGGACCTGAAATATCAGTAACAAGTTTGTCCTTTTACAACATGACAATGCATACACAACTATGGCAAGTACAGTGGTTCATAATTAAAACGGGACCTTTTGGATAGAATTGACTTTTTTTGTTCACTTCCGAAGACAGATGGTATATGTGGTGAAAGAGAATCCCTTTATTGAAATGTCCGTATATAACCAAAGAAAAACGTTTGCTTTCAAGTGATTAGTTTTGATCATGGAATTCAACCATACAACATAATGTGGCATTTATTAACTTTTTTGTCCTTTTGCTTTAGGCTCTGAAGCCCTCCAACCATGCCACCATCCAGAGCATAGTGCGGGCGGTGGGCGTCGTCCCCGGCATCCCCGAGCCATGCTGTGTCCCAGAGAAGATGTCTTCTCTCAGCATCCTCTTCTTCGATGAAGACAAGAATGTGGTGCTGAAAGTATACCCCAACATGACTGTAGATTCTTGTGCCTGTAGATAGTTTATTCCCCCCCCCCCTTAAATGCCTGTTCATAAAAAAACTCAGCAAAGAAAAAAAGTGCAGCCAAAACGACACTCTCTCCTTCTGTTCCCTCAGTCTTACTTTCCTTCACTTCCAAACCCACCATTGAACCCAACTTCCGTTTTGCACTGGAGGAGAGTCGCGCCTGTTGTTCCAGGTGAAGAGGAGACTGTTCATGGGAAGGAATGGATCCTGTGAGTTGTCCTCGTGGCAGATAACTGGAATGGAAAGTCAAATCTCCATGCTCCCATTTCACCACTTTATGTCTTTACCATCGCTGCTCAACTATCCGTCAGGCGATGAATGAATCACAAACTCAGTATCAAGCTATGCAAATGGTGATCGAGGCATAATAGAGGCAAGAACTGAAGGAAAAGTCTCTTTTCAGTTCAAACTGATGCCTCTGTTGTGGATCATTCTCATCTTTCTCTCCTTTACAGCTTGAAGTTGTCATTACCACCAAGTCTATGCTCGCACTTGCATGGTTTTTGTTACTATTTGTATCTATTTATGTCTGTACTATCACTGTGTTATTCACTATATGAGAAGTTATTGTATAATTATTGGCTTGGCTGCTATAGAGAGATATATTAGATTCCAAAGCCAAAATTGTGATGTAGACGGTACAGTAGATAGCCGTACATATTTGTGTTTAGCTCCGTTGTTGTACAGAACCCACATTTTTAAGAGTTTATTATATTCGGAAGTGTAAGCTACTTTTCATTCGTGGTCTTCGTTAACAGTTGGAATTGCAAATCATTTTCAAAAATATAAAGGGATACAGCATATCAAAAGGATAAACATTGAACATGGGATGTCATCGTGTGTTTTTCACAAGTGTGAAACCACAGGACTCAATGCTCAGAAAGAAGAGTTGTAAAATCTTGGCAGACATAAGGGATTAATAAAAACAGGTACATTTGAGTCTTAACCTATTTGTTGTTGGTATTCAGTTTAGAACAATATGCCTTTGCATTATTTTTTAAAAGTATTTACAGAGTAGGATAACATTTATGAAAAAAACGTTCATAAACTGCCAGAAACTACGTTGGCTGACCCATGCACGCGCGCTACAACGGCCCTATACACTTACACTATTAGAAAACGCGCTGCACTAACTAAAAAACAAAAAAATCACAAATATGCCAAAAGACGTGCAAATTAAGAAAAATCTTCACCAACTCTACAACACTTGCCCAGCGTTAAGAAAACATTTGCCAACTTGATGTGTTATCAGCACGGTTTACTCAAAATAACTGCATAAACGACATGCTGTAAATACAAAATGCTGGAAGAAGCTCAACACACAACGTAAACCAGGGGGCAGTAACAAGTGATGCACGCAGCTGGGACTCAAGCGCTTGTTGACGGTCGGGGATTCTAAAGTTGGCCAACTGTCAATGTCAATGACTAGGTTAGCTACGTTAGCTAGCTAGCTTACAGCAGATGCGAAATAATATCGGAAGGAATCGCACATTGTTAAAAAAAGGCAATCAAACTTATATTTTAGGTAAGCCTCCAGTGACACTGACAGTTGGCCAACTTCATAATCGCCGAAAGTCAACAAGCGCTCCGAGTGTTTGTGTTTTTTTTATATGCATAATATTTTGATCTTTCAGTGCATTTCTCCTAATGGAAGTGTTTTGGGCTGTTAGAACGCATTTGCAATCCTTCTAGGAAAATCAATTTATAAATAAAAAAAAGTCTGTATCAAGTCAATACACACCGCTGAACTTTACATGACCTTAAGGCTCCTTATTTATGGGTTGGGGTTAGATGTTGACCAAAAGTCATTGAAAATGTCACTTACAAGTTTGAGATATCATTGTTTTTTCTGCTACCAAAAATTGAAGTGATCCTGTTTCTGCTAATTAAAAAGTAAAGATGACTATAAATACAAATTATGAGTAATACCTATAATATATTGAAAGATCAAGAAGATCTGATCTATATCTTTCTTGGTAGCATACTGTAAGCCTTTAATATTACTGTATAGAGCAGATTTATATAAATCATTAAGGGGGGTCTTTTTCTATCACATGTACTTTGCTTCAGGTCAGCATTTGAAACGAAGAGCAGTTACTGTGTCATGATGTTGCGTTGGGGTGTGAATTCATCAGAGTTCATAAAACCAAATATTTATTCAGAGCAAATAGACTGAAATATAACAGCAAACCTTTTTTTCTATAGACTTGTACATTGTTTTTGTATATAGCTCACAATATGATGATGATATTCCAATGTGTCTTTGAGATAGAAGTGCCTTTTGAACGGGTGGATTCCTGTTTTCAAAGACTTTGATTTGATTCATGGCCTTTTCAGAGCTCAGTTTGTAATGACGCTGAAGTCAAAGCAAGCAGCCTGGAATAGTTATTTTTGATGGTACAAAATAGTCTACAATGAGTGAACATAGTGCATATTCTTTTGAAAAGTATGAAGTAGAATTTATTCCAAAATGTATTACAATAAATTCACTATTTTGATATTTCAGAGACATTTATTTTGTGTCAGGCAGATTTTTTAACCTTCTATATTTTGTAATGACGCTTTTTCCAGTTTGTGCTTCTTCATCTTGTGCCAATACAGATTTGATCAAGGTGTGTTAGAATCAAATGGCTTCCACTGGTTGTGCCAGTACAACATTGCAGACTGCTGACAAGTCGTTTTCGGGGCCTTTCTTTTTACGTAATTGAACCCGTTTCTAAACCTCACTAATGTATTTTGGAGTACAAATATCGAAGACCCTTATATACCGTACATATCAGCAGTTTATAAAAGCTTGCTCACCGTTCAACACTATCTTGTAAATGTTATGCTGTAGGTAAAACAATAAATGCTTGTACAATAAGCTTCATAAAATATATTTGTATATGGAAAAGACCTTTAACATGCATCTATTTATTTTCTGTATGTTGCATATCTTGTACAGGTGTGGCCTGGCCCAAGGGACAAACGCTCTGATATGTCGATGATCTTTATATCTGTGAGGGACATCTGTCACCACTAAAGTGTGGTGAACCGCTTTAAAGGTCCCCCACCTGCGCTCTGACCATCCTTACAAAGCATTCAAAGACATGAATAAAAGTATGCAAGACTCAGATTTATCATACATTTTTTATTTCGGTTTTCAAACATGATTTGGAAGGTAGTCGCACAAAACAACGCACAATTCAGAAATTCAGAAATTGTAGTTTAGTTTTCTCTCCTATTTTACCATTCTGCAATATTTCTGAATTCACTAGCAACATTAAGGAATGTGCTCAATAATGGCCTTGGCTAGCCTGGTACCATTGAATTGCTACCCAAAAACCACATTTATTTTCAAAATGAAGTCAGACATGTGTTCCCCATATAGTGGTGCAGTGACCTTTATGATTTTTGAAGCCTAAATGCATTCACCAGTATTAAAATGCTAACATTACTATAAAATAACTACATCAAAGAACTACATCCGGGTCACATGACTGCGTGTCACCAGCGCTAAGCTAAACGCTAACTCATGTTCTGATTGACATTGTTTTGTAGTCTTATTTAGAAACTTGTTAGCATCCGCCATTTTTGGGAGACAGAAGTTTTAGACATTTTCAAAAACAATTGACAGGACGTGTTCGTGCACCACTTTTGAAAACTAAAGTGGTGCACGAACACATCCTGTCAATTGTTTTTGAAAATGTTTCACCGGTTGTAGATTCAGAGCTTTGTGGGAAGGTTTCAAAATGTGTACATCATTTTTTGCTAAAGCTAGCACTGGAAATGACCATTAGAAAACATGTATTGATGACATTAGGGCTGTACCGAACAGCTTTGAACCTTCACTTATTAGCATTCGATATCCATATCAGCATGTTGATGTTGCAGGGATTTGTATTCTTTTTTAGCACGTCAATTCATTTTGTTTGCGTCTTGTATTCCTGCAGATAAATATAAGCCTGCACAATGGTTGCAGAACTAGATTCCAGTGGTGTCTGCGAGAGGATTGTTCCCAACTCGTGTGATACAAAGTTTTCCAATAACTGTCAAGTGGAAATGTATTGAAAGATGCTGTCTAACTGAATATTCTGCTTCAACCCATATTTGTTGGGTCTATTGCAAAGAAACCAAAATGTTTTATTATTTCTATCGCACTCGAACCACACAAAGACTGACACGCACTGATTAGTGATTTCCATTAAATATTTATTTATTATTAACCGTGGTGTTGTAAGTGATAAGACATACGGAGCTTCATTCTAACACCCTAAATAGAACTTTCACATTATAAAAATGACATTCGGTTTGGCTATTGCAAAACAAAACATAACATAACTTTCTGCCAAACATACATTTGCTTAACATGACGTCATGATTATTTAGGTGAATTGAATACAAATATAATTTGATTGTCAGGCCTTGAACTGCAGCAATTATCATTACATTTGTCATTACAAACCTCTTTGTTTGACAAGTCAAAATGTCTATTGGTATTACATTTAAAAAAACGATAATCTGTTGTGGCATAAAATAACGTTTTTTATAAATGACCACCTAAAACCAAAGAAAGTCAAATTAAAAAAAAACGAACTTAATCTGAAACATTAACAAACTTTCCTGAAGTAGGTTTTCATTATCTTAAGGCCACAGCTTATCCAGAAACGTCAGGCATCCATACACAGTCATTATAACACACTGTACATACTGTACACACACATTCACCAGTGAATGTATACATATATGCGATATTTACAAAACTCACTCACCCAGTTTTTACATAAAGGAACAAGTAGCTTGGATTGTATAAATTGTGTATTTTTTATGCTTGTGCTTTACAGTATATACAGTATATACAAAGACACGTGGTACACAGTTGATTTACTGTAAGCCTCAATGTGTTGAAGGTTTACAGGAAATCAACTATACCCGTATTTTTAAGCATAAACTCGAGTTTGACCTCTTTGCTGCTTCTCCTCACATCATCAACACCTCAGGCCGAGCATTCTGCTTAAGGAGCTGGGAACCACAGAGTTGACTCAGCATTGAAAAAGGTAAATATTTCTTCAGGTCTGCCACGGGTTGCTCACACTCTATAACTTAAGTGGGAAAGGTGTTCATGTTTTTATGGGTTTCTAGTTTGGGCCGTGGAGAGACTGTGAGCATAACACTGTTGGAACAAGGAGCTCTTGTTGCTTCTTCACACAAATGGTTCATCATGGGAAAGTAATTCCTTCTGCTTAGATGCTGTCTAAGTATTTGAGTAGAATCTCTTCTCCACAAAGTGTTTGTTCTCGAGCTGCTTGCCTTTTTTGCAGTGTCATCTCCACATATATCTCTTCCCCACCCACCTACATTCCTCTCAAGCCATAAACAAACTGCACCCGTAATCACAAATTCACTCCGCTGTAAGAAATAAGACCTTTGCAGCTGCATCACAGATTTCCCCTACCACTTCTGGAGAGAAATCAACTGAATCTGAAATCAATATATTTGAGGTATCTGAAAAAGATTATTATATGGGCGTAGATTGATTAAGGAATGTGAAAACAAAATACTGTGACATGGTACCATGATCTGTTCCAAGACGTACTCCTTCCAAAGCAGTGTGAGATGAAGCCTGAGTAACGTAGCCTGCAGGCTAGCTTAGCAAAGCTAAAGCTGTAACCAATAACTCTGCGCACTTTGAAACTACAGCCAAGATAAAGCATCTATGTTGCATGTTTTAAAGGTCCCATGTCATGCTTTTCCGATTATTACCCGTCCCCTTGTGTGTTATGAAGGTTTTTCTGCATGTAAACGGTCTGCAGAGTCAAAACCCTCAAAGTACACCCTGTAGTGAGTAAAACTCTAACACACAGATAATACCTGTCTGTGCTGCCCCAGAACGCCTCGTTGGAGATTTCTCTTTTTCTTCCTGGGTACAGTGACGTGCCCATACCCAAATGGATCCAAATGGACCAATCCGTGGAGCCGTTACGTTACGTCCGCGGAGCCGTTACGTTAAGTCCGTGGATTGGTCCACATGGGCCAATTGCGGACTCCCTCACACACACACACTCAATCTTTTCTCAGCTGCAGCTCCACCGATTTCTCCTCCCTGAGACGGCGGGACGTGGCGAGGCTGTGAGTCGGTGTGTGAGCACACACACAAACTCCCAGCCAGGCTGCGGGTGTGTGCGGGTGTGTGTTCGGGCTGGGTTTCGGGCTGGGTTTAGCTGTGTCTCGCTGTCTCGCAGACGGCCACTGGGCTCATCGGGAGGGAGGGGGGGGGGCAGGAGCTCCAACAAGCCGTTTAGGACAGAGAGTGAATACACATACTATACAGAGATACTTTATGAGAAACCAATGTGAGTTTGGAAAATTGCACAATATAAATCTGTTCTAGTAGACCTCAACAATGGAATTATGATCAGTAGAAATGGCCATGACATGGGACCTTGTTGCTTCATTCTGGCGTTGGTCCAGTTTGTTGTAAATGTATTCTCTGTCCCTTAAGGGATTAAATTGTACAGTGTTGGCCTTTCAATTGTCCTCACTTTTCCACCATTGCAAGCTAGCTATCTTCTTGGCAACAAGTCCTCCAACTCAAACGACCAAATAGGTCGATTGTTCAAGCGCTTATTACGACCTATAGGTATAATCACGTTTTCAAGTTTTCAACCTCTAGTGCTCCTGTTGACTGCAAAGCTCCAGAGGGACGTTTATTCACAAATAACCCCCTCTGGAAAATCCTAAATTGTAGGATAGTTTGGCCATTAAAATGCTTTTTGATTAGATTTCTAGCGAGAAGTGTATATTGTACTTTTAGAATCCACGTCCAGTGGATGTGTAGGATCTATAGTTTGATAGATATTACGAAGATGATTTGAGGTCACGTCAGCAGAACGTGTATATACTACGTTTTTCCGAAGCATCCATGTAAAGTTGGCGTCAACGCTCACGGGGTGAAAACAGTATTTCCGGACTCTAAGTTTTCATAATAAAACCGGAAGTATTCCCCTTACTGTCAAATGATTACACAGTGATATCTGCATTACTCATCCACTAAAAAACATCAGTTTGTCCTTGTTAATTACACAACATTGATTGGTTTAAATTGTGTACAATGCTTTTGTGTTTTTAACCTTCGATTCAGAGAAACAAATCGTTTTTTTGGTGTTAAGCAGCTACTCTCTTTTTGTGTGTGACACTTTGAGCTTCTTACCACCATATTGTTGACGCTGACAGAGGGTGGTTTCTATAACTGTAGACTAGGGTGACCAGGTGCCAACAAGCCACATGGACAAAGAGGATGTTTGTGTGGGACATGTTACTGCGGTGCTAAGAGTTAGTTTAGATTTCAACATAATGTCCATCTAACCCTTAAACATTTACATTTTCTATTGAAACGTTTTGGTTTGAATTGGGGTTTTTTCCAACAAACAATCCTCCAAATTTGTTTGCAATCTCTAAGTCATGAATAATGACTGGAGCTAGCTTTCTACCACTGAACCGTATGATTGCCCAACCCAGTCTCATGGCATTTCGTGTTCACCAACACGATTTTTAATCTATTGATTCGTGTTCACCAACACGATTTTCCCCTTTTTTTCGTGTTGCACAGCACGATTTTAAAAGCAATGTATTTCTACTGGTAATGACGCTCATGGAAGCACGGCATTCGTTTGTGTCGGCTGCCCTTAAAGGCAATGTGAGCGTCCATTCTCATTGGATAACGGAGAATTGTACACCCGGAAGTAAGTATTCCCCTTACTGTCGATTGATTTTACAGTGATATCTGCACTACTTATCGACTAAAAAACACCAGATTATCCTTGTTAATTACACAACATTGATTGGTTTAAATTGTGTGCAATGCTTTTGTATTTTTCCCCTTCGATTCGGAGAAACAAATATTTTTTCGGAGTAAAGGATGGCAGAAGACACTACACTACCCAGAATCCCCAGCTATCGTTTAGACTACACCATGTGCTCTGTTTGACAAACCCCGTGATAGTCCTCAAGCTCTGTGATTGGAGAGTGTGCTCCGAGGGTTACGCCGAGAAATGGGATGGGACCACGGCAGACTGTCCACAACTGGATTTGAACGGGTCCACCGCGTCCCCCCCTCCCCCACCCCGTCCCCAGAACTACACATGCTGGCTATTCTGTTTCGCAACATGTTCTCTATCTATGGCACGTCTCTACTGGGAGTTGTAGTTTTAAAAGACGTTTTCGTATTTCCCATAATAAGAAGTTGCCAGTATTGAACTGTGTACATCCCTGGAGGTTTAAGGGATAGGAAACACTCAAATTTAAAACATATAATTAATAAATGGGTGAAAATTGCTTGTGCCCATAATGGGCAGCATTAATATATACACACATGCCAGCTAAGGTCAGAAGAGCTTTATTTAACAGCTGGTCTTATGTTTGTGACCCCTGTTGTTAATTGATTACATTACATTACATTAATTGATAAGCCTGAAACATGCACTTGTCAAGGTTCAGAGGCAAATTTTGCAAATATGGCAGTAGCCATCGATCAGCTTAAGATAAGATATACTTTATTGATCCCAAGTTGGAACATTTGCGTTACATCAGCATGTGTAGCAGTTGTAAATATGCAGTGGTGTTTATTTGTAAATCATTTAGTATAATCACACAAATTCTATGTTTTATATTTAACAATTCTGTGTTCTTTATTTATTGATTGTTCAATACCTGACAAGGCCGGAGATTAAATATCTACATACATCTTATAAGAGTATAATACATTATGTATAATATCAGTTAAAATAAGTGCTTCAACATAGTTAACATTGCTGGAGGTATGCACAAATATTGATAGATGTCTTGTAATGCGCTATTGAGGAACCTGCGACCCAAGTTTTTCATTCAATGCATAACTACACCATAGTTGTGTGGGCCTATATGATATGTCAATAAACCTTAGAAAATCTTGAAAGGGATGTGCAAAATAGTCATTATATACAGTCTTTAATGAACTATTAGTAGAGAATAACGAGTAATGAATATACTTTATAGGGATCCTATTAATATCTAATAATAAAAATAATGAAATTCAATAACCTGCTTTAACCACTAGGTGTCCCTTTATATCAGCTGTGCACCTTTATGGTGTAAATACAACCTATCTACCAATTGGATCAAATATAAAAGTCAGCCGAATTAGTGTTGATACTGCAAGGAGACGTATTGTGTGAAAAGAAATGTAAGACGTTGTTTAATGGCTGATATATTTATGATCCATGTCACGTTTTCAGTGTTGGCGGCAGTTCCTCATGTTTGTCTAGAAGTCTTCTCATCAGGGCTCTATAAATACAGAACTACGGCAGATATGTAATATTTAATGCAGCCGAACCGTGTATTACAATGCCGTTATGTGATGACTTCCAAAGAGAAAAGCAAGCACACTCGGAATAAAGTTTTTTTTTTTTTTTTTAATGTTTTCGGTCTGTTTCCGGTATTGTTAATGACGATGTGCTGTGAGATGTGAGACTGGAATTGCACAGGGGAAAATAACGTAGGCTATCTTTAGATGCGGATTTTGTTAAACTAATATGTTTGCGCTGTGGACCAACACTATACATTGACGGGGAAGGGGGTAGCAATAAATATAACACCATTAAACAGTTACACAACATAACAGAAATAATATCGATAGCAGCGTCCCTAGCAACCACCTTGGTAACAATGAAAACTTCCTGAAGTAATCTTCGTAATAACTAGCAAACTAAAGATCATGTACATCCACTGCACACATAATCTGAAATAACAACTCATATTTCTCGCATCAAATGACATCAAAACGCATTTTAATGGCCAAACTAACTTTAAAATAGGCATTTTCCACCGAGAATAAAACGAAGTTCGGCCATGTTTTGTTTTTCTGCAGGGAGAAATTTGAAGATCACGTGACATAGACGCCAGCCATTGAAATGAATGGCGTAACCCTCGGAACACACTCTCCAATCACAGAGCTTGAGGACTGTCACGGGGTTTGTCAAACAGAGCACATGGTGTAGTCCAAACGATAGCTGGGGATTCTGGGTAGTGTAGTGTCTTCTGCCATCCTTTACTCCGAAAAAACATTTGTTTCTCCGAATCGAAGGGGAAAAATACAAAAGCATTGCACACAATTTAAACCAATCAATGTTGTGTAATTAAGGATAATCTGGTGTTTTTTAGTCGATGTGTAGTGCAGATATCACTGTAAAATCAATCGACAGTAAGGGGAATACTTACTTCCGGGTGTACAATAGATGAGAGTAACAAATGCGTCACTTCCGGGCAAAAATAACGTCTCCGCCCACTTTTGGGGGAAAACAACGCTGTCAGTTGAACGGCGGTCAATACAAATTCTGAAGTTTTTGCCAATCCGATCAGAAATTTAAGAAAACCGGAGATTTTTGGATCATCAAAGAGCCCGATTCCAATGGCCAGACAGGCAAACAATTGCATTAAGCCATTAGAAATCGACGATCGGGCTCGATATATGGTTAAATATAGCAGTAGGCTATCGATTTTCATAGATGAGAGTAACATCGACGTCACTTTACGGCCCCGCCCACTTTTGGGGGAAACAACGCTGTCATTTGAATGGCGATCGAGCCTGAAGCCACAGAGCTCTTCTGTTACTGTCCTTTCTTCTTAGAGGAAGTACAGAAACACTGAACTCTGGATTATTTTTAATGTTTGAGGTGCAATAAACGACACAGCAGCTTTTTGGCATGATACAACTATTATGTTCCGCCTCGCTCATGAGAGTAACAGCTGGAGAAATTACAGCCTCGCCTACTGATTTTAATTTAACCATATATCAAGACCGATTGTCGATTACCAATGATCAAATGTAATTGTTTGCCTGTCTGGCCATCGTAATCGAGCTCTTTGAAGATCCAAAAATCGACGGTTTTAAAAAAAATTTGATCGGATTGGCAAAAACTTCAGAATTTGTATTGACCGCCATTCAAATGACAGCGTTGTTTTCCCCCAAAAGTGGGCGGGGCCGTAATTTTTGCCCGGAAGTGACGTAGGTGTTACTTTCATCTATTCTCCGTTATCCAATGAGAATGGACGCTCACATTGCCTTTAAGGGCAGCCGACACAAACGAATGCCGTGCTTCCATGAGCGTCATTACCAGTAGAAATACATTGCTTTTAAAATCGTGCTGTGCAACACGAGAAAAAGGGGTAAATCGTGTTGTGAACACGAATCAATAGATTAAAAATCGTGCTGGTGAACACGAAATGCCATGAGACTGGGTTGGATTGCCATTGCTGCCATTGCCGCACAGTCTGGTAAACTTTGTGGTTATTTCAGCTGCCGTTACCTTATCTGTTTGATTATCCTATTTTGGTTAAAGGAGGAATGTATATATAGATGGGCATTTTCTCTTGAGTCTCGCATCGAGTGTCGCTTCAAATCAAAATCACCTCAATGTGCGATGGAAAAAAACTGAAATGTCACAAAAAACTCTCTGGTAGCCGGCTACACTCGTAAATACATATTTGTTGATTGATTGACATCTGACACAGCCAATGGTGATTTCCCTCTTTTGCATTCTAACAGCTATTGAATAGAGGCAAGTTTTAGCAGGGTCACTGTCAATCAGTTCTGACACCTGGTCATCCCACTGTAGACTAAACCACATTATGGACAAACTTTGCCATTGAAGAATTATCTTTGGGAATCAAAATTGCATGGTGACAAAGCAACATGTTTCATGAATTCTAGGTTGTGTGGTTTTTGGAACTGGTTACAATGCAGAGCTGATTTCTGACCTGTAAGGTAAGGCAAACTTTTCTTTTCTACCTATGCTTAGTGCCCAAACCATTCAGAAAAGGGTTGTTTATTCAGCAACAAGGACTTGATACCTCACTGGTTTCCAACCCACAAATACTGCCAGCTGTGTTTGATTTAGGTGAGTGTTTATCTACAACTCACAGGAGCATCATTTCTCAGCATCAGATTTTGAAGAACCCTCAGTAACATTCAGTTTGACAGATGTTAGCTTGCTATGCTAGCGTGCCACTTCTACAGCTTCTGGCACTGCATTGTCATACAGATTTAACAACCAAAAGGAAAGTGATGGTATCACAACAACACAGTCCAATTTAAACAGGAATTCTCCTGTGACTCTTCATTTGTGTTGAGACGGTAAAGTAACCAGTCTGAGGACTTCCACCACGGCTGTCTCGGGTGATGTGAGATCACCTTTTCCAATTCAGTTTCTTTATATAGGAAGCAAAGGAAGAAAATGATGGAACGTTATGGCAGAAGGTCTCAGAAGTCGATGTCCCAACCAGACAGTTCATCAGGAGGACTGTCCTCATCTGGAGGGTAGATGTCAAAATAGCTGTGATCTGTCGGTCCTGACAGCTGTTGTGGAAGAGAAGACATAAGTAGAAAAAGGTGAGATATGGATTTCTTAATATGCTTCTAGACTAACAGTCCAAAAAAAGTGGAAAACCTTTTATGGAGCACCTACAAATTGAATTTGTTGCTCTTTGTTGCAATTATAAGGCAGTTTATGTTCAACTGATATCCTCCTCTGATATCCTCTTCTGAGAAGCCTTGAGGGGTTCAAGAAAACAACAGTCTGCTGTCGTCATTGACACGTGCAAAGCAGAAGTTAGCAGTAGAATATTTTTCTTTTACATGTTTATTGTAAACCCAATTATATGTGAACCAGGATAAATGTGAAGGGGTCGAGCTGCTTGCTCCAAGACACACTAATGCAACATTTTAAATCTCAATGCAAAAATGGAATCACTATTATTATATGGTTTGAATTCACCTACCAGGGTTTTTTTTTCTATGCATCACTATTAAATGTCTTTTACTTGTACTACTCACCATTCATCTACCAAGAAGTCAGAAGGGTAACGGAAACAAACTATAAGACCTACTTTCATGACACTTGGTGGAAGGTCATAGCATTGAACAAAAAAAACTAAAATCACTTTTGAACAGATCCAAATCTCGGAGTGAATACACAAATGGTGGTGAAAACATTGTAATAGGGCATTTGTGCTGCAAATGATATGAAAATAGGAAATATTTAAGTAATAATCTTCTCAAGTCAGAACACCAACTCGGAAACATATACAATATTATTGCACTTTTTAAACACATCTGAATAAGATAGAACATATTTCCTTTAAAGCTCTTCAGCATTCCAAAGTCTGAAGAAGGACTTCCCAGCACGTGAGATGGGATCATCGGAGGCGCATGAGGTTCTCCGAGTGCCAATATAGTATTTGATCTGTATATGAAAAATAACTATCTATACTTACTTCTCTTTTCAGTGGAGATGGTAAAGTCCTCACTTTTAGTCCCTCCCAGTTGAAGCCATTAAACCACCTACACAGAACAAAAAGACACATGTGAGTACATCTATTAACGTTTCTGTCTCTACAGTGTGGGTTACTTTCCAAGCGTCATTTTAACTCAAACACATAGGGGGGAAAAAACATCAAGCTTAACTTAACTTGTATTGCTGAACAATTTGCATCTTGGATGTTACAATGTAACTGTAACTATATGAAGAGTAAAAGCCTCCATCAGACCTAATTTAAAGTAACCTATGCTAGCTGTAATTTGTTACCCTAATGTAAACCTTCCTGTATCTCTCTTCAAATTCATATTTAAAAATTTTTAAGAGGACATATAATGCACATTTTCAGGTTCATATTTGTATTTCAGGATATGTTAACATGTTTCAATGTTCAAAAAGGACTTGATTATTCTCATACTGCCTGTGCTGCAGCACCTCTTTCAACCCACTGTCTGAAACCAGAGCCCAGTCTGCTCTGATTGGTTAGCTGGCAGGCTCTGTTTTGATTGGTCCACTGCTTAGCGATGTGTTAGAAATGTCCCACCCAATAGCATATCACGTACAATAGGTTGAGACTGGCCAATAGAAGTTTGACCATTACATAGCGATGTCTCTATGTTCCGAAAGTAAACAAAGGAGTCCAATGGAGGCGTTTAATACAGGGGGGAGTGTGTGGGAGAGAAACTCCCTCTGGAGGGAACTTTGGGATGTATCCTTTGCAGACCATTTACATGCACAAAAACCTATAACAAACTACTTGAAAGTGAAAACCCCCCAAAAAAGAATAGGGCCTCTTTAGGTGAAAATAATGCCACCAAGAGAACAAGCCTGTTTGAATATGTTTTGAACCCACTGATCTTGTACACTGTGTTCAATCACAAAATGAGTCAGTTGCCTCTTACCTGTGCTTCTTGATATCAGTTATTCCATTTTTTAGGTTGCCCAGTCGCTCTGAAGGATTCCGTCTGTAAAGTGAATCAGGATTGGACATTATTGTTTCCCCCAAACCAACTTGGAATTTATTTTTCTGTAACCATGTTTGCTTTGCTCAAATACTGGACAATTATAAGTATCATTGATTAACATGTTGGTTGTTTGATTATATTCAAAGGGCTTAGACACTTATAGATACTATAGTTCAAAATAACTAAACAATATTCCTATTGCAGAAGTGATTCCTAAAGTCATGGCTGTGTCTTATCCTTTCATACTTCCTATCTTATCTCAACTTAACCATTTTATGTTAGCCCTCTTTCCATTGCCATACAGACCTAACAATCGTGCTGCTGACATTTTTGTCAGTTTTCTAGAAATCATTAAGAGGGTCTTTGGCCTAACCCCAACCTTTACCCCAACCTCAACCTGAAGTCAGTGCAGTTCTTTATTATATACATTCCTCTACTAAAACACACATTTTCTTAAATGCACTTACTAAACATGTTTCTGTAATACCGAAACTCCATCAGCTTCTTTTCTTACATATGTGCATATGTGGCATCAGTGGTAAACTGGAGGAGTCTAACTTTGTTTTTGCCCATGTGACGTTGTACCTGCACAGCTTGCGTATGAGGTCATCGGGTCTCTTGGTGATCTTTTTGGGGAAGTCCATCTTCTCAATGCCTTTCAGGATGAAAGTGTATGTCATCATCTGGTCACTCCCTGAGAACGGAGGACTGTAAAGAGTAGGAGGACAAAGGCAGAGATTTAGTTTCTTTGATTGAGCTAAGGTCTGTTAGACGGAAGCTTTTCAGCAGCACTCTGTTCAAGTCAGCAACTGATTAGCACTGGAAGGAAGGAGATCGAAGTGATATCAAGAGGAAGGCTGATTATATGATGCTTGACTATGATACAGCCTTGATAAAGACTGGAAGCACAGATGTCTGACCTGCCAGTGAGGAGCTCAAACACCAGGATGCCCAGAGACCAAAAGTCCACACTGAAGTTGTGGCCCTTGTTGAGGATGATCTCAGGGGCCACGTATTCCGGTGTCCCGCAGAAGGTCCACGTCTTTTGGCCACATCTTATCTTCTTTGCAAAACCAAAGTCAACCTGGGTAGGAAGAGTTGAGCAGTTAACTCTATTAAGTAAATTAGGCATCATGGGGTTTACCCTTTCTTATATTGTGTTACATAGGTTTATATATGTGCATGTCAATGGTCTTCCAAAGTTCCCTCTCCAGAGTGAGCTAAGCAGGGCTCCTAACAAACTTTATAAGGATCCTACATACATTTTCGAGAAAAATCACAGACTTTAACAGAATATTACAGTACTGTATGTTTAACTCAAAATGAAACATGTAAAATTATGAAAGTTATTCAACATGTTTAAAGAATCAGAAACAGAGAAAAGCCTTGATGAAATGAAATGATGCATTGTGGGTTTTTCCCTTTCCTGTAGTGTGTTATATAGGTTTTCCTGCATGTAAATGATCTACAAAGGCTACAATCCCAAATACAGAGGGGGTATCTTTTTTTTTTGATGAGGCAAAAATAAAGTCTCTACAAATTGAAGATAACATAGGGTAGTAGAGTATTTGATATAAACATGATCATTTTGTGGGTGAAGTATTGATTTCAGACTCACCAGTTTGATGTATCCCTCAGTATCCAGCATGAGATTCTCAGGCTTCAGGTCTCTGTAGAGAACACCTTTGCGATGGAGGTAATCGAAAGCTTCTGTGACGCAACCAACGCAGAATTTAGCAGTGGTCTCATCAAAGCTCCCTCTAAACACAAGAAAGACACATTTGAACTTGTTTGCTGACAGGCAGGGTCAGATCTCCCACTGTTCAGGAGGCAGAGAAGCAGAAGTGGTCTTATTACACAAATGCACCTGAACACAGGCTGCCCGTGTTCAGTGAGTTACGACCACTGGACCTGCTTTTCCAGGAAAGGGTGTCTCATTATGCTAACCTTAAAGTAATACCTTTGCTTCATGCAACGAGCCAGATATAAAATGATGTTTTTTCACAGACTGAAAGTAAAATGTGGGAATTGTGTAAGTGTCACTTTCTCCTACCTGTCTCTGAGCAGACTCCAAATTTCTCCACCCAGACAGGCCTCCAGCAGCATGTACACATACTTGTCATCCTTAAATGTGCGGTAAAGTCTAGAGGAAGAGATGCAAGGAAAAGGTGTAAGAAGACATATTATGCTCTTTTTCAGGTTCATAATTGTATTGTGTGCCTCGACTGTGATGTGTTTTTAATGCTTTAAAGTTCAAACCGTGCTTTACTTTTCTCATACTGCACCTCATTTCACTCTCTGTATAAAACGAGAGCCGCTTAGAGAATTGTCGGAAAGTGTCCCGTTAAATGTAATTATAAAATTAGAAGAGAGCGGTTACATTATATAATAATTTGCCTAAATAGTCCACATTAGCCTTCATTTGGTAAAATGCAGAAAGAGCTAATGATCATTAACAGAAAGCAAGATGCCTAAATGTTTGAATACAGTTTTCAATATTTAAATTCACTATAGTATGTTTTGGGGTTTTTAATGAATTTTATTTTTAGCAATTGGACATTATAAATGCATTTATATATCACTTATATAAATGGGGTTAGGGTTAGGGAGTTAGGGTTACCTTTCTTCTAAAAAAGCTACAAAAAAACATCACTGTACTGCATTCCTTCAGAAAATAGAAGCAATGACTGCTCAAATTATTGTTATTGTAAAACTGTCAACTTTAATTGACCCTCGTGGTAAATTGAGTACATTGCTAAAACAACCTAAGAGATAATAGTTAAAACATATTTTTTCAAAAGTGAAATAAATACATTGAGTGTATGAAGAGGAGTTCAAAAGCAGTAACCTTTCAGAAGGTGAAAAATGGCTTTAATATCTATGTCTGTTCCACTGCGTACAGTCAAATTGGATCATTGTAATCTCACAAAAGGCAAGGAAAAGGTACTGCTGCAATATTTCATGAGAAATAACTACATTTTCAAAGCGGACATCTTAATATCCCCTGCCATTCTACCCCGTGGAGAGGATGTAATCTGTTCGAAGCCTACACTGTGATCTCATCAAAAACTAATAAGCGGGGCACTGTTTTCCCGACTAATGGAGAAGAGCTTTATCCTGTGGGATAAAGAATGGAAATGTGTTCGGAGGCTGAGCGAGGGGACTGACTTGACGACGAAGGGCGAGCGAGCCTCGGCGAGGATCTTCCTCTCCGAGTGGATGTGCTCCTGCTGCCTGTTGTCCACCACGTGCTTCTTCTTGATGACTTTAAGAGCGAAGGTGACGTCCTTGCCCTGCAACTTCACCTGTCGATGGAAACACAGGGTGGGATGTCACAACAGTGATATTTTTCATTCATTTGAACAATAATGCTTGCTATCAAAATATGCTGATGGACTTTTAATGTTAGGGATGAGGGTCCAAATCTACCAAAATAAATGTTATGTGTACAAATATATCATTACATTTTCAAAAAGTCATAATGAGGCCTTGAATACAGCTGATTTGGGCCAGTGTATGTAAATAAACACAACTGAGTCCGGGGAGGGGGGTTATATTCTGGCAATAAGTTGTAGACATAAATCGACAAGCGAAAAATTACATTTGCAGGAAAAACTCAGTAATTCTGTAAGACTGTAGTCGAAGTTATCCGCATCTTTAATGTATGAGTCATTCTCTGGAACAATTGTTTCATTTCTCTAAGCACAAAAAATATTAAAAAGTCCTACTACTCACTTGATTTATAACCTGAGTAAAAATTGTCCTTGCACGTCTCAACCGCACATTTCTAGTATTTTTCAATACAACACAATGTATTTCTTTGACTTATAATAATAATAATAATAGATTTATTTTGTTAGCGCTTTTACAGGTCCTCAAAGTCGCTTTACAAAGATTGTGAAAAGAAAAGAACAACAAATAAATATAGTTAAAGTCAAATTAAAATCAAGCAATACAAGAACAATCACACATTAAAAGCCAGATTGAAGAGGTGAGTTTTTGTAAGTTTTTTGAAGGTGGTGAGGTCAGTGCAGTCTCTGATGGGTTGTGGGAGTGAGTTCCAGAGGGAGGGGGCAGCGACGGAGAAGGCTCTGTCCCCCCAGGTCCGGTGATTGATGCGGGTGGGGACGGATAGGAGGTTGGCTTCTGATGATCGGAGGCAGCGGGAAGGGGTGTGGTGGTGTAGCAGGTCTGTGAGGTAGGGGGGGGGCCTGATTGTTGAGGGCTTTGTGCGTTTTGAGCAGGACCTTGAAGTGGCCACACGTCGTTGCCAAGCAACACTTATTGTTTAAGCAGGCAGTCATATCATTAGCTAGAACTAGCTAGATCTGATAGATTTGGACATAAACGCGAGTGAAGTATAACTGGATGCGAGAGAGAGAGATCAGAGATCAGATCAGCTGCTGCTGACGGAGAACACACAGCTCTTCCGGATCAAAGCTCCCCCGCTGTGGCAAACCGTTGAGCGGAGCTCAATTAATAAAATAATAAAATAAAATTTTAATAAAATCAAGCAATACAAGAACAATCACACATTAAAAGCCAGATTGAAGAGGTGAGTTTTTGTAAGTTTTTTGAAGGTGGTGAGGTCAGTGCAGTCTCTGATGGTTTGTGGGAGTGAGTTCCAGAGGGAGGGGGCAGCGACGGAGAAGGCTCTGTCCCCCCAGGTCCGGTGATTGATGCGGGTGGGGACGGATTTTGCTGCGAGCTGCAGGAGACTGTCGGGCTGTCAGGAGAGGGAGAGGAAAAGAGAGCACCCCGTTTATTTTTCCCATTTTATTATCCAGAATTACTGTAAACTTTTGAATAAAGTAGTTAATCTACTTAGTAGTTTGTTTAAATGCATTAATTATGCTTTTTTTTCATTAACATAAAAAAAAAATCACATACCCCCTGCAGTACTCCAACGTACCCCTAGGGGTCCGCGTACCCCCATTTGAGAACCACTGCGGCGTAGAGGATGCTATTGCAGTAATCCAGTCATGATGTGATGAATGCATGGTTTCAGCAGCAGAGGAGGAGAGTGATGGGCGGAGACGGGCAATGTTTTTGAGGTGGAAAAAGGCGGTCCTCGTGATGTGATTGATGTGGTGATTGAATTTGAGCTGTCTGTCGAAGATGACTCCGAGGTTGCGGATGTGGGGGGGGGGGGATAGAGTGTTGCCGTCAAGGGTGAAGTTGAAATTCTGGATGGATTTGGTACGGCATGGGGGGCCGATGATAATGATGTCTGATTTGGCACTGTTCAGTTGGAGATAGTTTGTTTGCATCTATGCTTTTATTTCTGAGAGACAGTTGGTAAGAGTGGAGCGTGTTGAGGGGGTGATGGTTTTTGTTGAGATATAAAGTTGGATGTCATCGGTGTAGCAGTGAAATTGAAGGTTGTGGCGACGAATGATTTTGCCAAGGGTGAGCATGTAAAGGATGAAGAGGAGGGGGCCAAGCGCCGAACCCTGGGGGACGCCTTGGGACAGAGGAGCAGTGGAGGAGGTGCAGTTGTTGATGTTGATAAACTGATGTCTGTCGGTGAGGTAGGATTTCAGCCAGGAGAGTGCAGTGTCGGTGATGTTGAGTGATGATTCGAGGAGGGACAGCAGGATGGTGTGGTTGATGGTGTTGAATGCTGCGGTGAGGTCGAGGAGGATGAGGATGTTCAGGTTGCCGGAGTCAGAAGAGAGGAGGAGGTCGTTTGTGATTTTGAGAAGAGCTGTTTCGGTGCTGTGTTTTGATCAGAAACCGGATTGAAATGGCTCAAAGAGGTCATTGGAGCTGAGGTGGGATTTTAGTTGTGAGGCAATGACATGTTCAAGTATTTTTGACGGAAAGGGGAGATTTGAGATGGGCTACTACGGTGTTGACCGTTCTGAGTGCTCAAGTTACATTTTTGACCTAAAGCGCACTGACTTTTTTTATTTCTCCTCCTCTCTTTTTCAACCTATAATGGCCCTTATACCCCAATGTAGTAGCTTTGACAGGGTTTTTAACAAAGTGATTAGCTTCCAATATGCGTTCAAGATTCCTGCTATAACATTACATTACATTACATGTTACATGTTAGACGCTTTTATCCAAAGCGACTTACATACTCATTACTGTGGGCAATCCCCACAGGAGCAATTTTGGGTGAAGTGTCTTGCCCAGGGACACAACGACATGCTGACTGCAGTGGGGTTTGAACCTGTGCTCCCCTGATCCGAACACTAATGCACTAGTCCACTGCACCATAACTATGATTTACATGCATTCATTTGTTTTGACAACTCTGTCAGTGTTGGCAAGAATAATTCATTGTATAATAGTATAATACAAATAATCTAAAACATTTCTTATCTTCAGGTCTTACCAGTTCTACTCGTCCAAAGCCACCGACCCCGAGAGTAGCCACGACCTCCAGCTGGTCGAAGGGCGTGGATGTAGGAAACGTGGAAACCATTTCCTTCAGCTGGATGACGTCTGGCGACAGCGGATGGCTCTGGTGGCGCGACAATGACCTTCTGAGGGGAAACAGGGAAAGGGCCTTGTCTAAACCAACCAATCACAGGTATAGATTTTTTAATGTTTTTTTCTTAACATGTTCAACTTCAGCACTGCAAGTACCTGGCATGTCTCTTCTTGTCGTCACGATCAAGTGTTGCCACGTAGCCTTGGAGGTACTTCTGCAGCTCATTGAAGGTGCCCACTGTCTGATCAAATGTCCTTAAAGAACAACAACCACATGATGTCAACGCTGCAATGTTGGCTTTGGTTTAACTGATGTGTCTTACTGAGATAAAGAGCATTTGAGAAGAGGGGAAGAAAGTTTTCACTGATTCCACATTGTAAGTTGTTCTAATGTTTTACTTGTTATTGGAATTAGACTGCTGGGTAATGGGAGGACATTTGGCCCTCTCATGTGTATCTCTGCCAAAAAGCTTTCGTCATGCTAATAGCTGTGGGGAGGGACAACACTTTTGTGAGTGTCCAGAAAACCACAGTTCAAATGTCAGAATACTCACTCTCTATCAATAACGAGGCACTCCACACCGTCCTCATCTGCGATAATATTAGCTGATCTGACATCATCACTGAAAAAAGACAGAAAGATGTACACACACATAAACACACACATTTTTTCTTTTCTATGATAATGATTTTGGGATTAGTAGGTCTTTTTGCATTTAAAGTCAACAAAGAATGGCTCTGCAAAACAGTCACAGCTGTGAATCAATATGTTCAACATCTTGTATAAAAAAATATATTAAACCTAAAATAGAATGTAAATGTAATGTATATTTGATTGACAGCTGCAATATTTTACCTGTAATGATAAAGGTGATTAAACACAGTTACAATTAAATTGCACACTTCTTTAGTTGTACGATTTTAAAGATTTTGTTGACCAATATCTGATTTGTTTATGTATTAACGCATATTTGGGAATTTACAGTAATGTCTGGAGCTGTTAGAAAGTGCTGGCTGTATGAGTTTAACAACAGGGGATTAAATAAATATGGTAAAATAAATTATGAGAGCTAACAATTTGGCGATAACTAGCTAGATAGCTAACATTTGTTAGCTAGTTCTTTAGATAGGTAGCGGACATACGCTAGTTAACTAGTTAGATGGATAGCTGATGTTTGCTATTCAACAATAGATTGATGGCTAAGTTAATTTACCAGCTTGTTAGATAGATAGCTAACCGGTCGCTAGTTAGCTTGTTAGATAGATAGCTAATCTTCGCTAGTTAGCTGGATAGATAGAAGGTTTGCAAGCTAAATAGCTCACTGGCAGGTTAATTGAGTTTGGTTTACAGGTTTACTTGTTTTTATACATGTCAACACTGTGGACCTTTGCAAACCTTTGGGCAGAGATAGTTATTATAAACTGTGGACATGAGTTTAAGTATGGAGCCTGACAGCCAAGGGTGCTTTGGTACTTTTCTTAGTTCTTCATAACGAAGCAGTTTACACCAAGACACACTACAGACTTATTAAAAATGTGCTCTTACGAGATTTTGTACCATTTCATATGTCATCCTGCCAGCCGATATTAGAAGATGGATGTGTTACTGTTTAATCCATTCCAGTTTAACCGCAGTGTAGCTGTGAATAATCCCAAATAAAAATCATAGTTTACAATGCTAAACCGGAAGAACTAACACACTGTGTTCGAATCAGAAATGGGAAAAAGGTCAGGACTGTCTAAAGTGAATATTGGTATGCATCTGCATGAGATATTAAAAATAAGAGCAAAATCTGAATGAATTATTCAATCACATGTTGTTCGGACCTAGGCAGCCCTCAACACAGTCTCACGGCATTTCGTGTTATAGTCACGAAATTAATCTATTGATTCGTGTTCACCAACACGATTTTCGCATTTTTCTTTTAAAAGTAATGTAAATAATAACAAATTTGAAGGAAAAAGAGATAGAAAAAAATACAGATTTTAGTATTCTGACACAGAACAATTTTAGAAGCAATGTATTTATATTAGTAGTACAGTATGTTTCGTGCCTGCACCAAATAATAACAAATTAGAAGGAACATTTTTTTTTAAAATACAGATTTAAGTATTCTGAGCCCCATTTATTTTCCTCGCGGACGGCAAAAAAACTCCGACATTATACAATTTTAAATAAAAGGGTTAGGGTTAGACCATAGACTGTATATATAAAGACCAGTGGTTCTCAAACTTTTTCTGTCATTCCCCACTACTGAGATGAGAGCTACTTTCAAAAAATAAAACAAGTCGTGAGCTACTTTTACTCCTCTTTTTAGTTTTTTTGCAGTGTATTTAGCACATTTTAACATTATTATATGCTACCTTTAACCTTTGTGTGCTGTTTGGGTCTGTGGGACCCGTTTTCAATGTTTACTAAAATAAAATGTATGAAATTTAATTATTTTAACCTGCGTTATTTGGTGGTGGACGTCAAATCCTCTAGGGTCCCGGGGCATGCACCCCCAGGAAGATTTTTTTTAAATGTTGAAGTTAAATGCATCAACCTGGTGCACTTTGCGCTAGGACTGCTCAATTAATCGTATTTTAATCGCATTTACGATTTTGGCATGCAACGATTATGAAAACAACATAATCGAAATAAAACGATTTTATTTTTTTTAAAATAGGTTTTTCAGTTGAATTATACTTAAAGTTCAGGGTAATCAACTGTTAAAAACATACTTTTCAAATTATTTTCTTCAATAAATTGATGTTTTCAAAGTAAATGGTTAATCGTTTTTAATAATCGTGATATCAATTATTGACCCAAATAATCGAGATTATTATTTTTGCCATAAACGAACAGCCCTACTTTGAGCCCAACATGAATTTATGGACACAGCTCTCAACACTCAGATGAAAGGGAGCTGTATACTTTTCAATAATCCAAACATCTTTAGAATATGATCACAACAAATCATTTAAACTTGTTTATTCTTATCTTATGTTACCTAGTTAGCATTATTTCTTTTTATTTATGCATATTTGACTAATCCCTCCCCTTTTAAACTTTTTACTGTCCTATAGTACACATTGGAATGATTTCTTACTTAATTTTTTACAACTTTATTAAATAGATAAAGGTGTGCTCTCTCTCTTGCTCTCTCTCTCTCGCTCCACATTGCTTTTCTTCCCGACTGCAACGCTGTTGTGTGTGTCTGTGAGAGCGTTTCACATGTGTGTATGAGAGATTTTTACCAGTGGCGAGCCTGTCTCTGAGGGCCTAAGATATTCTGCAAAATAATATTTAAAAATATTAAAACTAATTATATTTTTCTTTATATATTTTTTAAAAATATGTTTTTAGTAATATTTGTCATTAGTTTTACCAAAAATAACTTGATTAAATTGTATTTAAAATAACATTTCCAAAGAAATAAATCCTTTGAATCTGCCTATTCAGCTATGAATTCACAGAGGGCCAGCTATAGTAACTGAACGAGAGAGTAATGTCAAATGACAGTACAATTGACCAATCATATCTTCCCTCTAAATGGGTGGGCTTTATTATCGCGGACTTTATGACAAGTTCCGCCCGCTGTGAAACGTTTCTTGTTTCCATAGCAACAACAACTGTCAACAGCGTAAACTCACCTTCAAAATAAAAGCATGCCAAATTACACTTAAGACATACAACTGCAACAAAAGTAACAAACACAATGCAATATCCTTTTCAATTTCAAAGAACACAAATTGGGTTATCTACAAGTGTTGTTTTGTGTGGTAGAGTGTCGCTTTCATTGATGCGTTTTGCACCCCGGGCCGTTGTTCTGATATTCCACCAGTGTGAAAAAAAAAAATATATATATTAGGGCTGTCAGTCGATTAAAATATTTAATCGCGATTAATCGCATGATTGTCCATAGTTAATCGCGATTAATCGCAAATTAATCGCACATTTTTTATCTGTTTTAAATGTACCTTAGAGGAATATTTTTCAAGTTTTTAATACTCTTATCAACATATGAGTGGACAAATATGCTTTATGCTAATGTTTATTATCATTTGAACAATGACAAATATTCTCATGAATATTAAACACAACAACTTCTGAACATTACAAATATTCGCCTCAATTCAACCTGGAACCTAATACAATAAAAATGGTGTGTGTGTGTGTGTGTGTGTGTGTGTGTGTGTGTGTGTGTGTGTGTGTGTGTGTGTGTGTGTGTATGTGTGTGTGTGTGTGTGTGTGTGTGTGTGAGAGATGGATCGTTGGAGCTATGTGCAACTCAAGGCGAAATGTCGCTCCTCTGTTTTCATTTAAGCAGCTCCTTATATCTGTTAGCGCAGCTAGCTAGCACCAGATGCTAACAACAACAATGCACGTAAGGTCTCTCTCTCGCTCGCTCGAGCAACACATACACACACCCTCCCGGTCCTCCCAATAGCCAGTCGGTGCCTGCCGGTGAGCGTGGAAGTGTGGCACAAGCGGGCGGCAGGAGCGGGGCTGTCAGCATCAGCTTGTAGACGGTATTTTAAACTCGATGCACTCTGAAACTACGGGGCGGCCGAGGAAAAAAAATACACATGCGTTAATCGCGTTAAAATAATTAGTGGCGTTAAATTTTTTTTGCGTTAACGCGTTATTAACGCGTTAACTTGACAGCCCTAATATATATATATACACACACACACACACACACACACACACAAACACCATTTGTATTGTATTATTGTATGAGAGAGGTTCCAGGTTGAATTGAGGCGAATATTTGTAATGTTCAGAGGTTGTTGTGTTTAATATTCATGAGGATATTTGTCATTGTTCAAATGATAATAAACATTAGCATAAAGCATATTTGTCCACTCATATGTTGATAAGAGTATTAAAAACTTGAAAAATATTCCTCTAAGGTACATTTAGAACAGATCAAAAATGTGCGATTAATTTGCGATTAATCGCGATTAACTATGGACAATCATGCGATTAATCGCGATTAAATATTTTAATCGACTGACAGCCCTAATATATATATATATTTTGTATTTCGCGACCCACCTATCACATCTCTGCGCCCCACCAGTGGGGCGCGCCCCACACTTTGAGAAACGCTGGGTTAGACTAAGGGTAAGATATTGAGTAAGAAAATGTGTTTATGAACCACAGAGCTTCTGGTCTTCCAAGACCCGACCGGACAAAAGTGACGTGGTGCAGGCACGAAACATACTACCAATAGAAATACATTGCTTTTAAAATCGTTCTGTGTGACACGAAGAAAATGCAAAAATCATGTTGGTGAACACGAATCAATAGATTAAATTAATTTCGTGACTATAACACGAAATGCCGTGAGACTGGGTTGCAGCCCTGCAAAAAATTCACAGACTGACATATTTTAGCCTTTTTTTGTTTTGTTGGTACGCCCACTATAGACCCATATATATGTGCACAAGCACTGAAAAAGTGAGTTTTTCAAATATGTCTCCTTAAATAAAGTAAGCAGGTAATGCTAATGGCTGGGTTGTGGATTTGTGGGTATTCATGTTGTAAAAACCTTATCTGTGATACTGGGGCAATACCAATAAACATGACTGGGCTAATGGAACAGTATCTCTAACCACCCAATAATATCTAGAGGCATGAAATAAATGACAATCTATGATGGTGTGAGATGTTTGTTTTTACCTTATAAGTGCTTTCTCTCCAAAGTAGTCTCCCTTCTGCAGCGTGTTGATAATCTGCGGGAGCTTGTGGGCCTCTGTGCTCTGGGTCACTTTCACCTGCACAACACATGTCAGCTGGATCTTTAAAGCACACTTCACTTATTCAGTCAGCAGCTTTTACAGGTGCTTTCAATTTTCTCCAAATATTTTGACATGCAATGTAAAAAGTTAGAATCCTTGGAGATTGCAATAATTGACACATTCAATTATAGTAATTGGAACATGATGGCTACAAGTGATTAAGTGGGGTTGATGATATTTTAGTTGACATTCTGTCAGATAAAACACATTCGTTGTGAGGTTATAATTAGCTGCCTCTGTTCTGCTGTATAGAGCAGCAGTTTTTTTTTTTACAAAAATCCACCAGCAGGATGTTGTGAAACTTCTCCCTAATTTGTGAGGCTTTAAAAACCAGTGGCCCGCCCCGGTCGAGGTCAAACATGCCACTCGTGGCACCACCCTGCCGGAAAAACGCCGCAATGATATCACAGCCATAACGGCCGGGGTGTGTTTTAGCTAAGTGTCCCATTCGACCCAAGTGACCTTCACTTCCCCTGTTTTTCCTGGTGGCAAGAGCTCTCAGAGTGTATCCCCTCCCTTGTCAGGGGGTACGAAGGGAGCAGGGGGGTGGAACCATTTCCTGTATTAGCCCCCTTTCACCCAAACAACATGTGTTCCTCTCTGGTTTAGTTAGCTTAGCTCAGAGGAGGTGCTGTCCCGCAAAGCCTCATAATGGCATTTTGAAAGTCCCCTGTGGACAACTCTGGCCTCTCTCCATCTCCCCTGGCTCCCCGGTGTCAGGTTGCTGACTGATCAGACAGACGGGCGGGTGAGTCATAGTCCCACGCCCCCCAAACTCACATACAGCTTGACCAACATATTGTTTTGTTGGAGTATTGACCAAAACTGGTCTGTTAAAAAAGGGTAAGCAATTTAGTCAATGAATCAATGAGTCAATTGTTTGAATTTGCCACAAGGAAATTCCTCTTCTTTGAATTGCAGATTTGTTGCAGGATGACATACCTGATGTATTCACTGTGGTTTGCAGTTTTGTTTACACAGATGCTGCAACCCAAATTCAAGGAAGAATGAAAGCAGAAAGGGTTCCAGTGTCCAGCAAGACAGACCAGCGGTATTGCTGTAGCTCCCAGCATGCTCACTGATAAGAAAAGCCTTTGGTGCTGGAGCAGCATCCTTATCAGTGCAATAGAGACGTCATACAGAACTGTCTAACTGAGGCATGAGAGGATTTATTGTGCTGTTGAAAGGACAGGATTAAGGGCTTGTGTCTCCAGCCCTAATGAGTGCAGAGTCTTATAACAGCTTAGAAATCTCTGCTGCCCATGTGTAACAGGTTTTCATAACCACTGGGAAACACTGCAAAAAAGGTTTTTAAATAGCTTGATTTGACATTTGCCTTGTCATTGTGATTAATATAGCATATTGACATTAGCATTAATTCAAAGCACTGTTGTCATTCGCCAAATGCTGCCTCCACATTAGGTAATGTTGGCCAATATTCGCAAGTGCCTTTTCAAAAGAGAGAACATTTTCGGTTTGTCTTTTGTTACGGTTAGTACCATACTGTTAAAATCAGCAAACAGTGTTGCAAGGGTAGCAATTGAGGGTCCTGACATAAGTTATAAGCTCAATGATGTGCTTGTGTGTTTGTCTGTGAATAACATACATTACCTTTCCCTGTGCGATGATGTAGAAGGTGCTTCCCTCCTCTCCCTCCCGGATGACGTGCTCTCCCTTGTCATAGTATTCCTGATGGGAGACAGGAGGGTAATAATGGGGAAACAACAGTCAGAGCTGAAGCATTACATTGATTTAACCATTGAACCGGTTGGTCTGATTCCTGGTAGCCGGTCCCCTCGGGGATGAGAGCTGGAGTTCAGCCATCAATACTGCTCCGTCATTCAGAGCTTCTCAGCATGGAGGGGATTTTGGGAACCTCATGGGATTAATGATACATGAAGTAAAGCTTGATAGTCTGTTGATTAAGATGTTTTTTTAATGTCTGTCATGATGGCCTCCGATTATGGTGATCATAGGATTTGACAATGGGTATTATCTAGCAGAAATAGCAAGAAAGGTTTTCACAAGAATAGATGGGCTTGGATTACAGGGTTTTAAAATTCAGGTTGCCTTGCACATAAATGTCACTGGTTATCTGCTCTCAGTCATAAAGTATAGAGAACAGCACTTCTCCCCATGCTACATGATATTATAAAAGCTGGGGTAGGCAGAATATTATTGGCATCAATTTGCCATGACAACCTTTCAGCATATTTTAATATATGTCTGACAAACCTCTAGACTTCTGGGCTCTGTTTTCAGGCCTTAGAAAAGCTAGCCAGTGACTTTGTTCAATCACAGGACATTTCAGAAAGAGTTCCTCAAGACAGCTTTTTGTCCAATTAAAGGTCCACGTTCCTATTCGCTTTGCTACTAAATGTAGTTTGATAAACAGCATAATATCGTGCAGGAGAGTTGCTTACCCAGCATAGGCAACAAATGACTTCTGCAAAACAATGCTGCAAGCTAGCCTCCTCAGCTACCTTAGCTACGTTAGTAGCACCAGGCTAGCAACACTGTCCCTCCATCTTTCTAATAGTTTACATTCCGTGTCAACTCGCCATGGCTACTACGGTTAATGATGGCAAAAGGCTAGCTATCTTTAGCAACATTTCTCTCCATCTCTGAAACCCTTTGCCGATATTGTAGCAAGCTAGATGCTCAAATCCCAGAATCAAATCTCAAAGAGTCCGACAGGGCCTACATTTTTTCATCAAAGATGTCCGTTGTACTGAGCAATACAAAAAAATGCATGCCAGCGATATGACTGGAAAGTATAGGTGCCCATAGCGTAAAAAGGGGTATTCTAATATATCATGTTCTGGTAAGTCATTAAATGATGTGAAGTGAAGACCATCGCATTGCAAAGTTGGAACAGATTCCCTTATTTTATATATCATATTCAAATAGTAAGAGTGTATTTTCTTCCTCGCACCACATACACTTATCTCAAGCAAAAAGAAAACCCATTTTTATTGTGTTTTAATTTCATCAGTAGGAATTCAACGGTAACATAGCCTTCGGTATCAGTATTGTTGATTCCTGCAGAATATACCCTTTTCACAGAATCTGAATGTTTGTTTAACCTCAAAGAGTCTTGATTTGATGATAACGGACACCTCTCAGCCAATCAGAAACAAGTGCTTCCAGTAGCCATGGTATAGGCTCAAAGACTTTGCAAGAAGTCCACTCTCACTCGGACACACTCCAGTTGGTGCTGCTCACACTTGACAGAGAAAGACTGTCTCAATGTTTAGATAAATCTTACAAGCATCATAAAACTGAATGAAACCTTAAAATACTCTTGAACATCGAGGTGTAATGTGTTCTCTCGCTCATTCAGACACATATTCCTCCACTTTATGCCACCAGTTATACAGAACCTGACGCACCATCCACAGCTGACTCAGCGAGCTGCCAGATCACCTTTCCTTTTAAAGCTTTTAGGTGAAGACGGTGGAAATGCACAGAATGAAGGTGACCAGGAGGATATGTTCTCTGGGGCAGATGCCAAATTTGCTCAACGGCTGTAATCCATTCGACTATAGAGGATTTTGGCCGAAAGTGAACAAACAAATCAGAGCAACCATGCGTAAACATTCCTGGGTGTTTACGGACAAAACTCTTGACACAAGTGCCATTTTCCTTGAGCGTCCAAGCTTTTATTCGACACGTTTACGCTTAATGAGAGCCTTGTTAAACACCCGTCGGTGACAACGGAAACAACATGCCAAGGTTTTGTTTATAAAGACTGTCTTGATGACACAGTGAGTGTGCAGGAGAGTGACACCATTTGAATTGTGCCTCGGGCAGGGCTTCAATTTGGTTTACTTATGCAGAGAAAGCCACTTATGCTCAGCTGTGTGTGTGTTTTCGGTTTGGCTGCACTATTTTTGGAGACTGTCAATCGACCAGCCACATCACATATTCAACTGCACGCCTCTCACTACTTCCAGGGACAGAAACACTAAAACTAAACTTGTTTTTAAGACCACCACAGTCTGCAGCAGCCCCCAGGTGGACTAGTTGTCCTGTGTTGTCCTTGAAAGCATCTCGCTGCCTTCAAGGAGCCGTTCAGGAGCCGTTCAGCACACATGAATGATTTAAAAAGACAGTGACAGATAAGTGATATTTATGGACCAAGAAACAACATTTTAAATACGAAAGGATTTATACATAGGTCACAAGGTCACACATTCCATACTGTATTTGTGTTCAATTTTATCTTAGGGCTGGCCTACACTCTAATATTTTTCAAATCTTCACAGATGTTACAATTCTGAGAGACCTAGCACATAATGATATCAAGTCGTATATTTAGAATTTGTGTCCTTAAGGTGTGTGAACATTGTCCTTTATTGTGCTTAGGGTTCCCCCAACACAACAGGATATTTAGAACATGTTAAATATTTGCGATTGATTGATTTGAAATCAGTGTGGCTGGGATGGTTGACTACGCAGCTGCACACCAAGTAAAACCTGGCATATAATCTTAATGGGGCCCTATTATGCTTTTTGGGGTTTTCCCTTTCCTTCAGTGTGTTATAGTTTTTGGTCTGTAAAGGCTAAAATTCCAAAGTTTACTCGAGAGGGAGATTCTCTCCCACTCACTTGCCCGCTGCCTGACATTCCTCCATTGGACTCCTTTGTTTACTTCCGTAAAATAATGGCATCACTATGTAACACTTGTTCTTCTATTGGCTAGCCCTCCAACACATTGTAAGTGATAGGCTTAGGGGCGAGTGAAAACCTGATGGAGAATCCTAAAAACATGCCCCCCCCCCTCTCACACACACACACACACACACACACACACACACACACACACACACACACACACACACACACCACACACACACACACACACACACACAGAAACATACTGTACAGGCCAAAACACACACACCAAATACCAGGCCCTCACTGTTTGACAAGAAGCTTCAATATTATCTAGCCAATTCTCTATGAACATCTGCACCACTATTGGGTTACAGTCAACAACAGGCAACAGAATCAGCTCCTTTAGAAATGACTGAATAAGTAAATGATCCCGTAGTGGAAAGTAATGGCAGTACCAATGATTGCCAGGAACGTCCTTGAAGTTTTCATTGTGAAAAGACGCTGAGAAAGGCTTTTTCTGAAGCTGACATGCCCCGCTCTCCGCTTTCTCTTTCCCCGCTGAAATACAATGCTCATGGAGGAGAGCAGGGGCGAGCTATTCTCCTGGATTGTTCAACATACACACACATTCACATGCTCACACATCACACACACATTCACACACACACACACACACACACACACACACACACACACACACACACACACACACACACCACACACACACACACACACACACACACACACACACACACACACACACACACACACACACACACACCACACACACAGACACACACACACACACACACACACACACACACACACACACTTGTATGTTCTCACACCAAAAGCCTGTCACTCGCACATCTTTAAGAAATCACTCGTCCCCCAGTTGAATAAACACTTTCTGGGGCCTTGGTCAAATAATTATGGTAACAATATACAGCGCTCAGCGATGACAGGAATAATATCGGCTCTGTTCATCAACAAGGTAATTTGTGAGTTCTTGCCGACTGGAGGTAAAAAGAATATGCTGACATGCAGTAATGGTATATGGTCAAATGGTAATGATATTTTGACAGCAGCTATCTGTAATGCTGGGGCTCCCATGAGCTTCGAGAGGGTTGTGAAATAACGAAGCAATACATTGAAAAGTCAAATTGTCCAAGCAACAGAATGAAGATAGTTTGACAGAATTACTTACCACCTCGAGGCAGTCCACTATTTTGCTTAGCTTGTCTTCTGGTAGATTAGTCAAGAGTGAAACACTGACAGAAAGGACAAAACACAGGTAATGAGCATTCATTTCTGTATGTAATAATACAAATCACCATACACAAGATGCCAGGAACCATCAAGTAATGCACAAGGAAAAAAAGAAACATGATCTAAATTCAATCTAATATATTTGTTGAGTTTTCAATTTTTTAAGGTTACTCATATCAACAATCTTTTCATACTTGGACCCCTAAAAAGAGTTATATTCCGCAATGTTTACTCAATCATATATCTGCTGTCCAACTCTGCAGCTCTTTGCAGCTTATAACTTATTTTAGACCCTGGTTTTTGAGAAGAAAACTCAGTGTAGACAGGCCTTCACTAGTCACCTGAATTAACAGAGTTGGCAGTGTAGAAAGTTGAACATCTTGGCAAAAAGTAATATATTGTACAAGACTAACCACTGGCAAAAAAAGTAAAGTAAATATTCGACTGAGTAAATGTATGCAAACAAACAAGACAACTAAATGTTATTTGTTTAGAATGAGGAATTTGATCTTGACCATTAAACTATAGTTTGTATAGTGATAAACTGACCAAGGGACTTGTCGAGTAACCAAACCAAACTAGTAATTTGCTTGACGTTGGTAGACATTTTGTACTCTAAACATCCGGTAGTTTGATGTTTGATGTTATGTTTGGATTTTCTGCTGGTATTTTTCTACGATGTCGTTTTTACTTACCCATTACTTTCATTAGAACATGTTTTGTGTGTGTTAACGGTTACAAGAACTATACGAGTGATGGGATGCTAGCAGTTTTGCTACAGCTTGGGACAAACCTTCGGAGGAAGTTGCGGTACTGTTCATGTCGCGTCTCAGCCGTTCTCCTCATGATGTTCTGAAACACCTCCCGGTCCAGAACCCACACCTTCACTTTGTTCACCGCTGTAAAAGCAACAAAACATGAGACCTGAGACATGGTCCAGGTTCTGACCCCACAGCCAAAAACCTGTGCCCCTGATTGCTAAGTGCAGAGCCACAGCTAGTTTCAGAGGGTCTAGAAAAATAACCAATTATTTCCTCTCCCTTATCTTTCATAGTATTTTAATTTAGTTTAATCAAAGCCCTCTATCACCACATATAAATTACATGTTGTTTTATTTTGTCACAAGGACAAAGGAGGGGAGAAAAACACTGTAATCTGTCTTGCATCTTGGTGGTGAGTCACTCCAAATCTACAGAAACTCTGAGACAGGCTTTTGTTGGTCCAAGGAGGAAGTAGCTGTGAAAGATTAACATGAACCGGTAGCAAAGAAAGGGTTCCCCTTTGTCCCACTCAGAGACTTGTCGAACTGTCACGGTTTTTCCAGTTTTACCCCGAATATTGAGGTCAAATAAGTGTCCCTACCCTAAGGGCCGCAAGTCAATTACTTGTTTAAATATACAAACCCAGACAAAGAGCACTCACATGCTACATGGTATGCGCTTTACAAATTCCAAGGAGGTGAAAACCAATCAGAATGCAAAGCTGTGGATATCATGGAAAGCCTTTGTCAACACAACCAATGCAAAAGCTTGTTTACTCGGGTCTAATTACTTATCTGATTCTACTTCCATCACTATCAGGTGATCCATTTAAGAAGTCACTGCGACTCAGATAAAGTGTCAGATTACATTCAGAAGTCAGGATTGGACTGGGAAGATACAAGATAATTAGATGCTAAATGGTACAGGACATAATGGAAAACCAATTCTTGTCGAATACTGTGGCTGGTATAATAAAACAGGTATTTCATAATCTAAACAATGCAACCCATGTCATAGAATCAAAATATATATATATTTTAACGTAGCTAACCTTAGCATAAAAGAAAAATAAATTGAAAGATGTTTTTTTTTTTGCTTATGTTGGGGTTCTTGGCAGTCTTCTTCTCCAAATAAAGATATTTTGTATTAGAATGCATAGTTGACATGATCTTTACCTTGTCATTTTAAACATTTGCGGCCCAAACCTGGAGGGTCTGGAGGCGTCCTCCCTGAGTTTGATTTTGTTCCCATATACGACAGCTATTTGCAAAAATGTTCAAGGCACTTAATAATACCATTACTATCACCTTGGCTATCATTTGGGGAAAGCATGAAGGTTGCAGGAAAATTATACTGTTGTTATCCAGCTGTCCATATGTTCATCATCTTGAAACCTCAACACAGCAAATGTTGGGCATATCTCTTTTTCAGTCCTGCCAAAGAGGCAACCTTTGTTTAATCTTACTATTTTCAAATGACAAACTATAGGAATAAGCATTTGATGTGAACAGCGTTACTTATCTTGAAACACATTTTTACACGTTAAGTTGACAAATACACATTTCAATTGATGCCATTATATTCTGGGCTGCTCTTATTTTTAAATCAAACATCCCCAACAATGCCAAGTAAATGTGGAATTAAATGTTTAGGCCAACAGAAGCACATTTACTATTATTATTATTTATATTAGATACGGATATCATAATATTTAGCATAATAGCTCATCTGAAGAATGGCAACACCATACAATACAAAATGTTGAGGTACAATCTAATCAGGAGAACTACAAATCGTTACCTCGCACTGATGCTGTTCGTGTGCTGTTGTACAGAATGGCTAGTTCTCCAAAAGTGGTCCACACCGCTATCGATGTGAGCAGCTTGTTGTGCTGAAACACATCCAGCTTCCCATCTGTAAACATAAAAGACAGACAATCAGTTGTATTTAAACACATATTAAGAACATACACATGCTACAGGCAGAACCAATGCCATTAAACTTAAATTCAATTCAAAATGTATATATTTTTTTAATGAAAAATCAATAACATTTCGTAAAACAAAAAAACGACAATAAATGTACGAATTTCCATGCACCTTTATTCCTGAATTACCAATCTTTTTTTCAGTTTTCTGTTTATAATGTTCAACTTCAGCATATGAATTCTTGAATGAAGCCTTTTACTGAATCAGCTGATTCCTGCCTGCTGTTTAAAAAACTCTGTTTTGCTGGGGTGAGTATTAAATACTTATTTGCAAGTAGGCCTACTGAAAACTTCATTTGCAACCATGACATATCTGATTGCGTCACAGTTGAGTGAGTTACACGTCCTTGTCCAGGGTGAGACATCTCTTTAAAAACAGAACAGCATAACAAACAGAACATCTTGGGCCTTTCTTATTTCTCTAATTTCCCCTCCTCGACTCCTCGAATCCTCGGTCCTCCGGTAGTGAACCGGAAATGGTTTTCGGCGCGCCATGTTGAAGGACATCTAATTTCTCTAAATGCACATTGAGGACCGAGGATTGAGCATCGGGGAGGCTCTCTGGAGGAGCTATAATCGAGGATACATTGATAGTCTTTCTAGTTGCGTATTTTTCATAGTCTTATATTTCAACAGTTTTACGACAAACTGTGACTTTTTTGACATGGAAATTATTTTTTAAGATTGACTAACATCATATGTGTAATTCATGGCACAATTCAAACGGGATCGAAAGATACGTTTTCTCTCGCCATTGACTTCAATACATAATTTTTCCGAAATAAGGTCCCATGGGGTCCACCGGAAAGGGAGGGACTTCGCCACTCTATAGACAGATGTATCGGGGGCGTGTACATTGAGGACCCATTGTTGACTTACCAGGAAATAAACATTTTGATCGCCTCGTCTGTCGTTTACATTCATATTTTGCTATATCTGCCTCCATAGGATCACTTTGATGCATATTCAGTACTCGTATGTGAGGTTGTGGGTAAGATGTCGATATTGTGACGCTTATGCAGCGTCCACACGGCGGCATGCGTTGAAGCTTGCCGGTGGGCCTGTCTGAAGCTCGACCAACAACCAATCACATGAATCTCCCACCCCGGACACACAAGCATGCGGTTTGATTGGCTAGAGCTTGTACTGGCATATGATTTGAATGGCTGACGCTTCCGTCGAAGCTTCAAAAGTTGAACATTGCTCAACTTTTGAAGCGAGCGACGCGAGCAAAGCGACGCGAGCAAAGCGACCTCGCGAGCAAAGCGACCTCGCGAGCAAAGCGACGCGACGCTCCCACAATGCAGTTCGGCAAAGTGTGACGTCACCCCATTAACAACGCACGCCACCGTGTGGAAGGGCCGTTACAGGGAGGTATCGAAAATCACAGTAGTTGACTGTGTGGATGCCTGTTCAAAACATTGCAAACATGAATAAATCATTTAAATTATATATTTGGGTCCGACTTTCATTTTTACATCGTTCTTAATGTGATAGTAGCTTTGATAGCTGTCTATACCTTCAGACAGCCTAAAAGTAAAACTCGAGTTGTTTATTCACAGCCCGAAAGGAGCATTGAGATGACTGGATAATCTGTGACAAATTGTGATCAGCTCCGATTAAATTGTGATATAAATTCTGTAGTTATTCTCCAGCGAGCAAGTTTTTTTATCAACCCTTCGGTATAATTCGATTGGACTACGCAAATTAGTAATTCGAGACAAAAATGTCCACTGCAAAAGACTTTGATAAAAACATTATATTAAAAGGTTTTTTTCACAACTTTTTTGGGTTCAATCTTTAAAGCAACTTCCGCCCTAATAAAAATGTAATCATTTTCAGGATTTTAACCCTTTAAATGCCATTTTGAATACATGAAACCGCTGTTTTTTATCATGATGAAAACAGAGAAAATTAGTTATTTTCCATAAAATACATATCTGGGGACTGGCTCTTTTATTTATCACAGTCTTGGATATGTCAAATATTAGCAACAAAATTGATTTGTTTGCATTATTACTTTTTGCACGAAATCAGATTAAACAAAAAAACTCACACATTAGTCATTCGGGACAAAAATGTCCACTTCCAAAAACTGCTCTAAAATGACAACAGATTAATATTTTTTTAAACTTTTTGGGGTTAAATCTTTCAATCAACTTCAGTCCTGATCAAAAATACCAAATGTTAAATTATGGTCAGGATTTTAACCCTTTAACTGCCAGTTTGAAAACATGAATATGCGTTTTCTATGAAAAACATACACAAAAAGGCAGATATTTTCCATATAATAAATGTTGGGGGGGTCGGCTTTTTTTATCACAGTCTCGGATATGTCAAAGATTAGCAACAACATTTATTGTTTATTTATTATTTGGTGGATTATTAGTTTTTGCACAGACTCAGATTAAACAAACAACTCACACATTAGCCACTCGCGGACAAAAATGTCCCGTCCACTCCCATTATAACCACATCTTTTGATCTCTCTGTCATACTGGTATATAATCATGCATTTTGTAATGTCAGGGTTTTATATTGGAGGAGAATAGTTCAATTTGTCCTTTTTACTGTATATCACCAGATGTGATATTTTACTATGCTTGTCATTTATTGGTTTCTGGGCCTGTTGTATAATGGGGCCCTGCCAGCCATTGGAATACATGTATGCAACTAATATGATGTAGGTGTGTTGGTATGGATGTGGAAGAGTGGTATCAGCTGAGAAATATGTGTGTGTGTGTGTGTGTGTGTGTGTGTGTGTGTGTGTGTGTGTGTGTGTGTGTGTGTGTGTGTGTGTGTGTGTGTGTGTGTGTGTGTGTGTGTGTGTGTGTGTGTGTGTGTCTGGATGTACAGTATGTGTGTACAGTATGTGTGTACAGAGACAACAACATACAGCAGATTTGGTTTACAGCAAGTCACAGTTTTTGCCTCATATCTTTCTTTCTTTCTCTCTCTTTTTCTCTCACTCCCTCATTCCCAAACTATTAAACCTCCTTATACCTTGTATGTGTGTGAGTGATTGTGTGTGAGAATGAGACAGGAGTAAGTGTGCTCTCATGGCGTTTTGTTTTTCATTTGTGCTGTTTCATGTGTCTTGGAGGTAAACAGATGTATGATCTTGACCTCAATGTTTTGAATTGTTTGGAACTTCAAAGTCCTTTGATAATGTCTCTTTAGCAAACAGACATACACAGCCATACATACACTCCTTGAAGTAAATAAAAACACCTGGCTGCAAAGCCAAAGCTTCAAATATGTGTAGTTTGGCTGGCTGGTCATTTCATTTCTGTGATACGCAACAACCAGTAAGATGAAGAGGAGCTTCTCTGTAGGACAAGAGGTCTCATGCAGCCCGTAACTTCAGCTGCAGGACTCATCCTCTGAAACAGAAACACCCTGAGAAGGAGAATCTGGTGTGGATCTGAACTGTGCTTGAAAGGAGTCAGCACAAAGATAAAACACTTTTTTGCCAAACATGAGAAGGAGAATCTGATGTGGAGTTTGTAGTGGAGTCTGATCCTTCTTCGTCAGACCCTTCCCCTGAAAGTTGAGAGGACACAGAGGATCCCATCCCGTAGCTGCGCTACATTCCTCTGCGCTATCCTAACAATTCAAAACATCGAGGTCAAGCTGGGTCAAGATCATACATCTGTTTACCTCAAAGACACATGAAACAGCACAAATGAAAAACAAAACGCCATAAGAGCACACTTACTCCTGTCTCATTCTCACACACATAACACATCAAGACACACAAACACACACATTTCTCAGCTGATACCACTCTTCCACATCCATACCAACACACCTCCATCATATTAGTTGCATACATGACTCCAATGGCTGGTAGGGCCCCATTACACACAGGGACGCCCCTCCCTACAGGCCAATCACGCAGGCTGCATGGGGCCCCGCCTTTGCGCAGGGGGCCACGCCCAGAGGGCCTCAGCTGCTGTGCGCAGTTCTCCGCGCACCCCCCGCTGACACGCGAGAGTGAGAGGTGACAAGGGGAGCACGTCTGTAACCCGACACCGTTGCAATGAATCGCCATCTGACCAATCACGGCTTTGATACGGCCACTAGTGCAGGTGAAGAGATGTCGGTGAAAAGACAGTTTCAGTATGGAGCAAGCAAGAGGGGAAAAAAACAAAACAAAACATGAAGAAACTAGAGCATCACACGAAGGTGGGTTATTGTATGAGTCAAATGTACAACTTGTGAATGTTGTATAAGTCAAATTGCCATTTGCCATATTAAAACATCAGCTACAATTCACGACATGAAGAAGGCAGTCTCTGCAGAGCATATACTATAGGCTAATGGAGATGCAGTTATTTCCAGCATTATTTATTTACCATTCATTCAAGTATGTGATGCCTTTTATCTGCTAATGTACAGGAGGAAGAGTGATACACTGTCTGTAGTATATTTGCATTAATTATATTTTAATCTTTTTGAGGCTAGTATTTGGCAGGAAATGCAGACGTATTCACCTGTAAACGCATACTGAACGACAAACATGCACATTTACCATTTACCTCACTGTATAAAAAAGTAACTGTGTTGATAATAATATTAATAAACAGGCATTATATTTGCAAAGTAGCCTACTTTGTTTCCAAAATTATTTTTGTTCACTCCTGTCGGTTGGGGGGAAGGGGGAAGGGGGCCTCATCTCACAATGTCGCTTGGGGCCCCAAGTTGGCCAGGGGCGGCCATACAACAGGCCCAGAAACCAAGAAATGACAAGCATGTAAGCAATGGTAAAATGTCACATCTGGTGATATACAGTAAAAATGACAAATTGAACTATTTTCCTCCAATAAAACCCTGACATTACAAAATGCATGATTATATACCGGTATGGCGGAGAGATCAAAAGATGTGGTTATAATGGGAGTGGACGGGACATTTTTGACCGTGAGTGGCTAATGTGTGAGTTTTTTGTTTAATCTGATTCTGTGCAAAAACTAATAATCCACCAAAAATAAATGTTGTTGCTAATCTTTGACATATCCAAGACTGTGATGAAAAAAAAGTTGACTACCCCCAACATTTATTATATGGAAAATAACTGCCTTTTTGTGCATGTTTTTCATAGAAAATGCAAATTCATGTGTTCAAACTGGCAGTTAAAGGGTTAAAATCCTGAACATAATTTAACATTTGGTATTTATGACCAGGACTGAAGTTGATTGAAAGATTTAACCCCAAAACGTTTTTTAAAATATTAATCTGTTGTCATTTTAGAGCAGTTTTTGGAAGTGGTCATTTTTGTCCCCAATGACTAATGTGTGAGTGTTTTGTTTAATGTTGTGCAAAAACTAATAATCAACCAAAATCAATGTTGTTGCTAATCTTTGACATATCCAAGACTGTGATAAAAAAAGCCGACCCCCCCAACATTTATTATATGGAAAATAACTGCCTTTTTGTGCATGTTTTTCATAGAAAACGCAAATTCATGGTTTCAAACTGGCAGTTAAAGGGTTAAAATACTGAACATAATTTTACATTTGGTATTTTTGATCAGGACTGAAGTTGATTGAAAGATTTAACCCCAAATATTAAAAGACATTTTTGTCCCGACTGACTAATGTGTGAGTTTTTTCAATGTTGTTGCTAATCTTTGACTGTTGTCCCCAGATATGTATTTTATGGAAAATAACTCATTTTCTCTGTTTTCATCATGAAAAAAAATAGCGGTTTCATGTATGGCATTTAAAGGGTTAAAATCCTGAAAATTATTACATTCTTGGTATTTTTTATTAGGGCGGAAGTTGCTTTAAAGATTGAACCCAAAAAAGTTGTGAGAAAAACCTTTTAATATAATGTTTTTATCAAAGTATTTTGCAGTGGACATTTTTGTCTCGAATGGTCAATAATTTGTTACACAGTGAATTAAAGACCGATTTGAAAAATTGGATCGAGAAAATAGCCTTGTTGCAAAGAATCAGGCCATTGTCACCAACACAACCAAAGTTATTGCAAAATGAAAAGTGAAAAATTACCCATGGACAAAAACGTCCACAGTGATACCGGAGGGTTAAATACCTGTATCCCTCTCATCACAACAAGACTCTACACTGTGCAGGAAAACAAATTCAATGCATGAAAATAACCTTGATGCATAGCTTGGAATGAAACAAACAAACTATCTTCCATGGCTAATACTGATATGTCACAGTAACGGTACAAGTTGAATCCATATAATACGGTAGTTCTATTATGCCTTTAAGCCTATACGTTTAACCCATAAGAACCCGGACCCATTTCTACTTTTGGGGAAATTAAGGGGAACGTCATTTAGACTAAATAGACCACCTAGAACACATTTCTGACAAGTAACCCCCCCCCTAGTGTCAAATATCTGCGCTTCAATGGTAAAGTAACTCTTATTTATAACTTAATTAACGAGGATGATTTTTTGGTTTACATTTGTTTGAACATACTTTGAATTGAGGAATAAAGAATATATTAACTAAATATAATTTAATCAGCTAAATTAACTTGTTGTGATGAGAGGGATACAGGTATTTCATAAAAATCTTGCTCGCTGGAGAATAGCTACAGAACTTATATCACAATTTAATCGGAGCTGATCACAACTTGTCATCTCGATGCTGCTTTCGGGCTGTGAATAAACAACTTGTGTTTGTGTGTCTGAAGGTATAGACAGCTATCAAAGCTACTATACATCACATTAAGAACGATGTACAAATGAAAGTCGGACACAAATATATAATTTGAATGATTTATTCAAGTTTGCAATGTTTTGAACAGGCATCCACACAGTCACCTACTTTGTAATTTTTCGATACCTCCCTGTAATCGACACTATATCGACATCTCACCCACAACCTCACATTCGAGTACTGAATGTGCATCAAAGTGATCCTAGGCAGATATAGCAAAAGATGAATGTAAACGACAGACGAGGCGATCGAAATGTTTATTTCCTGGTAAGTCAACAATGGGTCCTCAATGTACACGCCCCCGATACATCTGTCTAAAATAATAGAATGACGCCAGTTGTCATGACTCTAGTTAAACTGTAACACCGGCAAGTGAAACCTAACTTTGACTCTTGTCATAATTCTCCCCTTTTATCAGGTATGCACTATAGATAGTACAAAAACATAGCAAATCGGGCCAAACTATAACATAACATGTGTAAAGAGTGTTTTAAAGCAGTTGTGTGAAATATTGAGTGTGTTATTATTATATGTTTTATCAGCTTGGGCTGATGTGTGTGATAGCCGAGAATGTGTAACGTCTCCATGGTTACATAAACAAACACTGCGTAGCGTGCTTGCCGCCATTTTGTGTATGCACACAGTTATATGTAATATGTTGTCTTTATCTTTTAGTTAAATAATTATGTTAGGGTTTTGCTATCTTGTCAATTATATTATCTTATCAATGATATTGTGGTAATTAAGGAGTGTCATGATTGAAATACAGTGTTAATAGACAAGTGTATGTACTCTTACAAGAGGCTTTTTGTATGTACTATTGAAAGGTGTTGCATTTGTTGACTCACTCGAGTAAAGTACCGGCAAGTGAAACCTAACTTTGACTCTTGTCATAATTCTCCCCTTTTATCAGGGACATAACATATGCAATACGTTAAGGGGTAGAACATCACTAAGTGGTTGACCAATCATAACAGAACTAGGCTCTGGTTTCAGACAGAGGGGGAAAAGAGGTGCCGCAGCACAGGCAGTATGAGAAAAGTAAAGAGCTTTTTGAACATAAAGCATAAGTCACAGCGGAGGCACAAAATACTGATATGAACCTGTAAATGAGCATTTTCGGGCCCCTTGACTGGATGATTACATTAAAATCGACTTTTTGTTCTTTCCTGTTAAGAGTTGATAAACCAGAGGAATTTGTACATCTACCAAGAATACTTTTCACAGGCCCAAATAATTATAATCTGCATTTTTCAAAGAATAACATTAGGCTAACCTCTCAGACTGACATAACGTGTTTGATGCAAAATAAAGCTTGCTTGATTAAGGGCTGCTGTTCACTTTGATTTGATTGGCTCGTGGTCAAAGAAGCTGAACATATTTGAGAAAGAGCCAAGACCAAAAAAGTCATCTGAAAAAGCTACATGCCGTTGTGGTAGGTGACTTGGCTTTTCCTACCAAAATCGTTTTTTCTTTGTTAATTTCTGACACTCTAGCGCTGCAGTCAGCACTATTCTAACTCAATAATTGGCTACTTAAAATCTAGTCAAATGTAAGATGATACACACATTTGGAAGTATCAACATAGGGAATAGACACAAAAAAATCCCTCAGTTTAAATCAAAATGTTCTTCTTTCATTTTCAGGATTGTTAGTAACAGAAGGGAATACGTGACAATTACACCAGATGTAGCTCCAACAAATGTTGCATGCTGGTGTTTGATCAAATAAATGTCATATAAGACAGAAAAAAGTCAATATTTGGCTATCAATTTACATCAGGTTGTACATTTTCAAATCTACTCTAATATTCTCCCCTCTTTCAGCTTGCATACAATTATTTTAGCAACGAATCCAAACTCTACGGTGGCCAACGGGCAAACGCGCTTCAATGGCCCAAAACAATTCCATTTGGAAAATGCACTGCAGTTTCCAAAACGATGCAAACATCTTGTCACACTTGACAACACATGCACAGCATTTAGAAAACATTCGCCAACTTGACGAAACATGCAAAGGGTTCGCACTGCATAAACCAAACAATGCACCGTCACACGCTGCAAGAAACTCAACAGAAACCACGGGAGACAAAAAAAACAAATTGATCCACAAAGCGGAGACTGGAGCCCTTGTTGACGTTCGGGCATTATAAAGTTGGCCAACTGTAACTGTAGTTGGAAAGTTTCCTAAAATGTAAGTTGTATTGGGATTGTAGCCTTTGCAATGAATTCACATGCACAAAAACCTATATAACATACGATTTCAGAAATTGTGTTCAGAAAAATGGTGACATCTACTAGATTTTTTACACTATTCACCTATAGTGTCTTTCCTTATTGTAAAACTGAGATGTGCCAAGAGGGTAGGGGCCCTAATCATTTTTCAGGACTTTCTACATGATGTGCTTGTTTTTCAATATTTTGTGGCAGATGAAGAGCCAACAGGTTTTAATTCATTTGCATTAGTAAACTAGTTTGGACGTACCTGCCAGAACAAACAGATGGTTCCCAGGCTCTCCCTGCTTGATGACGTACTCTCCCTGCTGGTAGGTGCGCTCGTACATACACTCCACCATGTCTTTGATCTGCTGTAGCTCCAGCCTCTTCAGGTACTGGTTCTTGTTCAGGGCGTCCGTCAGCACCCTCTTTACACTGTCACCGACAACAACAGAGGAAGAGTTAGAAATGTGAGCTTTTACTGTGAAAATAAGTGGAGTTTTTTAATGTTGCTCAGGTCAGTTTCCTTTTGTTTTTAGATTTGTTGTTTTGCCTTTTTTTGTCCCTTAGGCAAGACCATAAACTGTATATAAGAATTGGATTTAGTCATTTTGTTGTCAGCCATTGATTTGTGGACCAAGGTTTTGAAGCCTTAGCTTCAGGCCATTTCAGGCAACCTAAACACAATTAACTTTGAATAACTGAAAACACACTGTAAAGGGGTAAAGTTGTCAGATGAAAATCACAGACAACACACAAACCTGGCAAAACAATGAACGCTAGCAATCACAAGGTAGCCACGTCCTAAACTATAACCTTCATTTATACAGTGTTTGTATGGCAGTGTTAAACTGTGTGCTTTGTATTCATAATAGTTTGAGCAGAAAGGACACGGTTTGGGGTTTGACATATTTGTTAACCCTTTGAAATGTTGAGTTTTGGGCAATTGAGCTATAACACCAAACTATAACGAGTTTAAACAATTGGGGGAAAAAACTGTATCTAAAGGACAGTTCTCTCACCACAGCCATGTGGTGTGTTCTTGGGCCCACTGAGCCACCAGGACACCCGCATCCACATTACTCACATGTTTTTAGTCTGAGTGATAAATACTTCTAGTGTCTCCTGTGAAAAGATGACTATTTGCAACCTCTGGGCTCCTTCCGACGATGAATCAAGTAAAACAGCGAAAACATAAAATCATCATGAGCTGTCAAAGTTCACCGCTTTGCATTTTAACAGCTGCAGTGAGAAAAAGACATCAGTTCCTTTGGGGAGTTGTAAAGGCAAAAGGTTAAGAGCCATGGTTGAATGTAAACTATAGATCATGAGACGGCGTCGCTGCTGGAGGTGGGTGGTCTGTTTATCCACCTTATCGTTGTGTAATAAATTATCACTTTAGGCTTCATAAAAGCAGAGCAGATGACATCCAGTCCTTGTTTTTCAACCCACATTCTCCCCTCCCACCTGGCTGTGTCATTACTCTGCGTCTGAGTCTGCAACATGTTACATTATCATTCACAGAAGATGAGTCTTCTGTTTCAAAGGGCCAGTCTGCAGGAGGGTACCAGACCTGCCTCATTTACATTAGTTTTGGTTATATAATACATGCTGGGCTTATTAGCCACACATGTTTTAAACATGAGGATCAGGTTGAGAGGGGTGGACTCTGCATACTCACATTTATTCACTGCAGAGCACTGTATTCGTGTTGTACAATATGAACAACACTGTGACAAAAGACCATCTGACTTTCATGTCTGAAGATCGAAGAAGACTGCTCTCTGGAAATAACCTTTTGTGTTGTTTTTTGTATTATTGTGATATTAACTGTGCACTAAGGCTACATAGCGGGTTGATCAATTTAATCTGCTGATGTTGTCTAGTTTGAAGATAGACAACTAGTTAATTGATTGGCATATAAAATAGTGAAACATTTCATACCTTTTGCTAAAAGTCAAAGTTGATGTCATTACATTGATTTTTTTGTCTGTCCAAGACTTTAAGATGTTAACTTTAATATGATAGGTCGACAGGTGCAAACGTACTAGAACGGTCCCAAAGATAAGTGCTGAATAAAGGAAACGCAGCAAATACGAAAGCTGCAAGAAGCACAAGACACAATGGACACTAAAAAGGGATGCACACTGGAGCGCTTGTTGGCGTTCAGGGATTACAAAGTTGGCCAGCTGTCACTGTTGATGGAAAGGTATCTAAAATGTTCTGTCGTGACGTGGTCAGACATTAAAGATCTTTCAGTCGGATTTAATTGTAATATTTGTTAAACCGCCAAAACAATTGTAAAACAGACCCTTTGATTGTCTGGTTTTGTTAAAATGACAAATACGCTCAGTTCTTAGTACTTGTTCAAGCAAACAAAAGCAGCTCAGTGCCCAAACAGAGCGGTCAGTAGTATGAGCTGTGGGCAGCATGTGTTGACTGGAGTGTTAAGAGTCAAATTAAAAGCTATGACGATGACGTGTTTCAGAGAATCTGAAGAATCTGAAGAAACTTTTATTGGTTATTGCAAATCCAATAAGGACATATTGTTAAACAACAGAGCCAGCTGAACCTGAACGGAGTTAAATCTATGCTATCTAAGGCTTGTTTTCAGGTTAAGGATGTACAAATTGTACCATTGCTTAATCAGACACTAGCTCCAAACTGGCCCTGGAACTGCTGGAAAAGGGCATGAGTAATTTGGCTTTGAAATGACCATACTTACTAGAAACACCTTTACAGATTTTTGTTTAATAAATGCAATATTGTTTTTATCTATCTATCTAAATGGAAAAAGGTGTACAAGCCACTAGGCGGCTTGACCTACACAAGCTTACTGTCTAATCTCTTCGTTCTTCAGAGTTCTTTCATTGTTTCAAAGCTTAGCTTCTCCAGTTATACTTGCCTCCATTATTGAGCATTTATCTTATCTAAATCATTCTTTATGTCGTTTATTGAGGCATGAAGCTTTGCAGTCCCCAGAGGCAGCATTTTGAGATCAACTTACTTCCTTCATTTGATATTCATCCTGTCGGGATGTAACATAGACAGCTGAAAAATAAATAACAGCTGGGAGAAAGGTAATTGTTTTTTTTTTAATGAGACGGGTAGAGCTCTTACATTTATTTTGAATATCATGAGAGAAAACACTACATGGTCAAAAGTGTTTTTACACCTAAAGGTAACTCCTTTCTTTATAGTCCTGGCTTTTGTGCACAGAGGCATGGTCCCATTGGAACATGAAATGGGAAAAGACAAATTATGTTTTAATATATCACTTACACTGCATTAACTTAAGCTCTTAAGAGCACATCCATAAAGGGATTATCCACATACTTATGGCCAACTAGCCTAGAGCAGGTCTGAGTAAATTATTTACCACATGAAGAAATGCATTCATTCACCCAGACATGAAGTGAAATAGTAATGTTTGATTTTTGTCAGTCAGTTGTGGCACTGACCAGAGGCTGACCTCTGGTCAATTAACCTCTGGTCAGCCTCTGAACATTGAATAGTTTTGTTTACAACACATTTCGACCACGTCATGTCTCGCCCACCTCCGTCTCCCACCCACCCCTGCTGCTTGCACCAGGCTGAGACGGAGCCTGAGGCCATCTTGAACCTTTCATTTCATTCTCCCTTTATGTGTGTTCAACCTTCCTAAACAAAAACATCTCACCTCGCATCCTTTGATACCCGGGCCTTGTCGAAGGAGAACTTTGGCAGGCTGCTGGAGTCGTAGGTCCTTGATGTGGGTTCGGCCGACACCCCTGCTTTGGCCCCTTTCCTCCTATTGAGGGACTCCTTGATGCGAACACTGAGGTTGGGGCTCTTGTGGAAGGCTTTGATGGAGGGGGCCCTTGATGGCAGAGGTGCCGGGGCCCCGCTCTGGTTCTTCATCACGTCCTGCAGCTTGTTGAGCTGGATGCTCTTGTTCTGCAGCTCCTCGCCCAGATCAGCCAGAGCTCGGCTCTCTTTGGCCAGCTGCTCATTGAGATGTTTGATCTGCTGCTCTCTGGAACAAAGCTCCTCATCCTTCCTCTTGCCCTCTCGCTCCAGCTCGTCCACTCGGGCCCTCAGGTTGTCCATTGACGAGTATTTGAACCCATGATCTTTGTAGCATCGGCTGTTGGACGAAGAAGTAGAGCCGTCCGCGTGTTTGTAACGCTTTGATTTCATCGAACCATTCCCCATCTTGTAATCAAAACAAACAAAAGAGATCAAAGTCAATATTAGCTGAAATGATTGAAAAGTCCTTCAAAGAGGAGTACAGTGACATTTAGCATGAAATGGTGTTTTTGAGAAAGCTTGCTGGGGTGAGGTTTCACACAAAAGAGCTGACGCTGTGAGGAAAAGAAAACCAGAGAAAGAGAGGAGAAACGGCAAATCAGTATATGATGATCAATGAGTGTCGTCTTCATTTATTATTCAGAGGCAGGAAGTATTACATTACATCAACAGTCCTCCCACCACTCATATGCAGCGAGGCAGAAGCTTGGGAAGAATACAAACTTAGCAAATTGTAAGAAGATTTTATTTCCAATGTCTTTTCTATTGATTTAAATAATTAATGAAAATGGGTAAAGTATTTTTTTCTGAATTTCCCATGTCACTAAACACCCATTGGACCAAACAAAACACCCAGGCAAACCAGCTGACCAAAGATCTATTGTAAATGTTTGATAAATAAAGTAAAAACTGAGAACATTCCTATAATACACAGTTTAATATTAACAAAAACGTTGTGAAATACTTGAAATAGAAAAATAATAAATACGATAGAAAATACTCAGAGATAACTGTAATGGGTTTGGTCAAAAATGTCAAGAAGGAGCCCCACACTTTTTTAAATGTTCTCTCAGCTCCCCTAAGTGATATGCTCTAGATTCATGCAGAATTGAATGTCTCTAGCCATTGTGAGGTGTTATTACATTATTAAGTGATATTTAAAAGCATGTTTCTGTAATGAAAGCGGGGAAGAAATGTCAGAGCAGTCCTGTTCTTGTGGGACTGATGCCCACTCTCCCATACAGTACACTTCATTCAAAACATTCCTGCTGGGATACAGTGAGTGGACGTCAGATCAGCCTCTTCTCAAACAATGTTCTGAACACTATTGAAAATGAATGACATCATAAATAAACCTATAGAGAAGGATTATCAGCAAAATCTCCCCTTTTTTAATCTAAACTCCTTTACTAGCACTAGATATTCAGTAACAGATGTTTTAAGAATATTACCGGACTATTTTTGCGTGCAGGTGATTAAGAATTAGTTGTGTTAAGTTAGAACCATCTCCTAGGAGGCTCGTGCACCTGCTCCTCGCGCTGCCTCGTCATTCTCCTCCTGAGATAAATGAGTCCGTGTTCAGTACAAAGAAAATCGTTACTCACCTGAATCACTTTTCACCCTTCAGACGAGCCAGGGAGAGGATTTAAAAGAAGAAATGCCGTGTTCGCACATTCGAGCATCCGCAGAGAGCACTGTTTGCGTCCTCTCTCTCTCTCTCTCTCTCTCTCTCTCTCTCTCTCTCTCTCTCTCTCTCTCTCTCTCTCTCTCTCTCTCTCTCTCTCTCTCTCGTCTCACGCTCTATTTCCTCCGAGGCAGTGCGCGTTCACGCGAGCGCGGCAACCGGTATGATTGGCAGGTGTGAGCGATGTCGTCGCGGTTTTTTAAACCAAAATCAGCATTACACAAACATGTTATATCACAAATGAAAAAAGTATTATTATATCCTAAAAACAAAACAAAGGTCCCCTTAAAATAACCAATAGTTAAGAAAAATACATAATTGTATTGTAAGCATGCCAGACAAAACACAGCAGTTTGTTTAACATATAGGCTACTCATAATCTGAACAAAATAAGAAAAGCGTTACATTTGGACAGGATTACATGCGAGATTGGGGATAATATGGTGCAGAAATGTATGTGTGGATGTGATGCGTTTGAGGTTTCTTATTAAGGATTGACAGGTTGATTTTGTATTCCTGTTTATAAAAAGGAAATCATAAAATGGACATCCAGGCAGTCTAGAATGTAAATAAATAAATTACTAACAGTTTAGCCAAAGTTGTTTTTTGCATTTGGTATCTAACAGGCATTACAAAGTCAGTTCACTCGTAATGATTGTTATCTCTGTGTGCTACTAGCCTCTGTGTTAGCATTTAGCATTATCCTCCATAATGTAGCATCTGATTTCAATAGACTCTCTTGCAGTCATGTCAACATTTCTTAATATTCTACCCTCCACATTGCGTTTCTCCAAGCGCTGTGCTCAAAGTTCAAATTATTTGAACGTTGACCTCGATTGCCAATGACTGACTATGACTATTTTGAGTCCAATAGCAGGAGAACTATCCCTCCAAATTAAACATAACTAGCTGTTTTGAATACATCTCCAAACGATATCTCCCTTCATCCCTTTTAGCCTCTTTAAGCTCTGGTGCTTTCTTCACCAGCTAGTTGCTTACTTGTTAGTCTGCTGTTTGGTACTGGGCAAGTATAAGTGAGTTTGTTCAAATGTGTTCACTAAAAACATCTGCCTGCTGCTGGAAAAAGCGGGGAAACTGATGTGAACCATGGGTGGATTACGAGACAATGGGCCCCTGGACTTGCAAAAGGCCCAACCACATGTTATCCATAAGAGTTGGTTTGCCTGTTTCTGTGGTTGTATTTTCACATATTTATAGTACATTTGCATTTCTTTTGTAGTTTTTCTGTCTCTTTTTGTGGTCTTTTCTGTGTCTTCTATCAAGTTTCTATATCTTTGTGGTCAAACTGAGTCTCTTCCTGGTTGTTACCTGTCTCTTTGGATTACATTTTGTAGGTGAAGGGCCCTGATGCTTTAGGCCACTGGGACACTGCTTAGGCCTGTTCAGTCATCCATCCATGGCCCTTTCATTTTCAGGTCAGAACTTTTAAAAAACAATGAGCCAAAAGACGCTAGGTTGCACTGGAGAGCTAGGAGGGGTGCCCTGAGTTTGCTGATAAAATACTGTAGGGTCACTGCTCAAATCATACTTATTATTATTATAATAATAATAATAATAATAAGTGTAATGTATTTTAAGCGCAACGTTTTATGCGTTTGATTTTTTCGGACAATGTCTGTCCCAAAGATGCTGTCTTTTTCACTCAGAAATAATTAATTGGTTTTCCCAGTGCGTATGTCTGAGGCAGCCAGGCCCGCAGCAGGTTTTATTGACAGGCACAGAACAATAATGGCAGGTGGCCAATGCTGATTCATCTGCAGCACTCACAGCACAACAAAGTAATAATCCAGGTCACTGACTCCCAACCTGAATCTGAGAGCAATCGGAGATCCTGGCAAATGATCTGAGGACATCCTCCAAATGAGCAAACATGTTCACACTCACAGAGTCTGCTAAAAGCCAACAGAGTCATCTTTTAGCAGACTCTGTTGTACATTCTCCCAGTGGTGGGTAAGGCTGCAGTAACTTGCTCAGGGGCACTCTGAGGCAGGGTGCAGCCAAATCAGCCAATTATTCCGATATGAACCTCTGCTTGTCAGCTTTTAACCCTGTAGTTGGTCCTGCCTTTGTGTCGTAGTTTGCATAATATCCTTGTGTTTACCTGGTTTTCTTTTTGTTGTTTAACCATTCCACAATGCTGGCTTGCTGACAGGATGTTCCAGTAGATGGTTAGTTAAAGTTTAAGACATTCTTTATTAAAGTCAATTATTACACTTATGTTATTTACAAAAAATCACACACCAAGGCCCGAATACACAAATGCATAAACAGGACCTGTACACATGCATTAGTGAAGGGGTTTTAGAGCAGAGGAGTTGCAGGGTTTGGTGCATTGCTTATCAAGAGGCGATCTGGAACCTCTCCAGTCCACTGTTCTTGGTCCTGCAACCATTTGGTTTCCAGCCAGATTGAGCTACTGCCGGCCCCATGTTCAGTCCCAGGGTAATATATGGAACCCAAATCATGTGTGATTAATAGTGAGATGTTGATGCCTGGTAATGTATTTTGGAAATACATACAATTGTTCATATTGCAGTCTGCTTTTCCATAGATTTCCATCTCCAGTTGCCACAGTGTTATTGCTGTAGCTGCATTTTTCTGTTTGTGAAATGCCTGTTTTGTTGCGGTGCAGCTCAGTGGTTCATGACATGTTAGGCTCATCAAAGTCTTTCGCTTAGTTGGGAACCCACTTGTGATTTGCGGTGTTTAGCAGGCTAATAGTTATTTTTACAATACTAAAGTAGTGCATGTGGTATATTAACTTGTGTATCTTGCAACAGAAGAATAATAAGGATTATTTGTTCATTGATGTATCATTTTATATTAGTTTTTAAACCATGAAGACTTGGATAGTAATAGGCAAAATGCAGGATTATTAACGATTTACCTTTTTCTTCAGTTCACGACTGACCTGACTGTAGATGCCTGTAATTAGACGGATGCTAGGACTGTCACTCAAAGATAGTTGTAGTTATTAGGGACCCGAGCACCGACAGAGTCTTAGCGAAGGACCTATTGAAATTGCTAGGATTATTATTAGAGCCCAGGTACCTATAGAGTCGGAACGGAGGACCTATTGTAATCTGTCAGGTTTTTACTATTATTTTTCCTAATAGTAAATCTCTATTTTGAAGTCCTAAACATTTTTTAAAAATTTGATCTGGTCAGGTCTGTTGAAAAATATGATATTTTGGAGGTCGCGTTCTCAGGGCGTCTAATAAAATCTCTACAGCATCCGATACAAAGTCGCTCAGGTTTAACCTAAACATTTGAAATTTCGTAGGCATATGCAGCAACTTGAGACGCACAAAAATGATCTGAATCATATAATTAACCAAACAGGAAGTCTGCCACTTTTATCCAATTTACATGACAATTACAGTGGTCTACACGTGATAAAGTGAAACATACTTTTTTTTAAGCGTGGGCAGTTGACACATATGTGGTTGATTTGATGGCACACACAATGGTAAAGGAAAGCATTTGAAAAATATTTTTGGTTCAAATGAATTTTTTTCAACAAAAAAAAACAGTTATCAAAGGAAGCTCAAGTTTTACAGTTCTTATGGGATATGTTGCTTTACATTGCATCACACTTCTTGCAATACGTGATGTTTATTCATGCGGTTGGTCTCCAGCGGTCATGGCATTTCACTGCTGCATCAACTCCCATCCGAGAAGTACCCCGACGTGCATGGTCCATTAAAGTTGTACCTAGTAAGTAAGCTTGTTATTACTATACATATATGGAGCTTAATGACAGGTATTTATTCCAGGAAAATATAAATGTTGAATGCCATGAAGACACTATTCGTCATTATGTCTCCAAGATCACAGATGATCACATAGGGCTCATGCCACGTGTAACTTTTAACACATGTTAACAAACACCAGCATGTTTGCAGGATAGAAAGCCTAATTTTTCATTTAATTTAATTTAATTTTTATTTGTCCCGCTCATGGTACGCAAAACCAAATGTACAATAATTGCCACAAAACATGACTCTACCAAAACACCATTGAGCGAAAAGTCTTTAATTTTTTATTTAATCCTGACTACCTACAAAATTGTCCTTTCCAAGAATAATGTATTTTTTTAACATATTTGTCTTTTTATCACCTCAAATCTTTAAAAGTTGTAAGTGTCATAAGTGGAATTCAGCAGAAAAAACCTTGTCCATTGCATTGACTTAATTTGGTCACCTGATGGAGCCAAATATACATTCTTATTTTCTGCATCAGAGCAGAAAATTCAGCCCCAACATCAGCCGGAAACACGATGTTGTTACTCCACTCTCACAGAACCTATTAAATATTGATAGTAAAGAGACCATTTTATCTCCCACAGCATTTTGTAATGTATTCCGACCATACATTTTTTATTTACCTCTGAGAAGGCTCTGTAAATGATTTAAAGAAACATTTAAGTGCCTTTTTTATTTCTTTATAGTATTATGAGATTTTTTTATGCTCTGTTTCTGTATATCATATTATATTTACAATATATTATATATAATATTCTGAATCAGAAATATAAATGTATAATTTATAATATATTGAAATGGTAATACAAGGTGAAGTATGGATATTTGCTTTAGGCTTTACAAAGTAGCAACATTATAATCAGTTGTCCCCACCAAATACAGATTTGTATCTCAGTTTTGTCAGCTTTTGTTGTTTTGATGCCCAAACCCAATCCATTATTTGCTCATTGAGCTCATACACTGCTGCTTTGACAAGTTTTGAATTGTTTGTATGGACATTGTCATTGTCAAACTGGCAAATAATAGTGGGAATATTTAGAAAAAACAATGACATAGTATATTATGTCCAAAATGTCAGAAAAATCTGAATAGTATAATTTTTGAGTAATATGGGAAAAAAGGAAAAGTTAAAATATGCTAAAAAAGGCATAGTATGTCGAAAACATTTAAAAAAAAGACCTAGTAAAGTATGACGAAAATATTTAAAAAAAAATGCATAGTAGGCCTATAGTATGTCAAAAATATCAGAAAAAAAGACATA